CATCACACTACGGTAATTACACCAAACACCTCACAACCCCTAGACTATCCACGATACAACTATCGGAAGTGGGTGCGTGATTTAGAACTTGTCTCTATCTTCAGGACTTGTGGTACTTGTATCATCAGTGAAATTTAGAGCTTGGTCCTCAATCTCATATTTGGTACACACCCAAACGACTCTTCAGCGAGTATGGCCAATATCAGTCTGTAGAGTGTTTTTGTTACGTCAGGGACCAAAAGCGACGAGTGCATCGCTCGATTGTTTCGTCAAATACTCGCACAAAATGAAACGATGACACGGCGTCGAAGAGATGGTCGGTCCTAAGTAATAAGGCTGTTGCAACATGATGAGAGTTTTAGCTTGGGCACTGAATCCGTTGTGTTAGTGATCATCGATTACAGATAAGGTGGGGATAGCATACAACTGAGTCTCTACATATTATGTAGTTTGTTAATTGTAAAAATACAAAATGTTTTCGACAGCTGTGAGGTTTGAACTCACGCGGGTTGCCCCAATGGATTTCAAGTCCATCGCCTTAACCACTCGGCCAAGCTGTCCATACAGTACCCATCTGACAAATATTAATTAAAATATTAAACGCAGCGTTTTAACAAAACCATGTGCGAATAAATCCTACCATGGTCCATTTTAATGCACCTTCACGTGAATGGATGAATCATGACAAGTGCTTTATCACACACCCGCAGAACCACCCGCCGGATGTGCTCCGTGCACCATTCAGCAATAGTATCCTCTTCCATGCTCAAGTCGGTGAATACCAAGACGAATACTATAATTGGAACAAGAGCATTCTCTATGATATCGACCGAATAGCTTGCAAGTTGCTCTTGTTCCGACTGAAGTATCTAGCAGAGGGATCACATTATCATAACACTCCACTACTAGTATATATCCATGTACTGATCCACGCAGGAGGGCAGGTAGGTGCGTTGCCAGCATGTGTGATACCTGGTGTCAACGAGTCGCATCCACAGCACCAACATTTGTGTGGCACGACAATCGTCTTTTTCGGTCTTTTAGCAACAATCAGTTTAGTTGTTGTACTTACGCGAACGACAGATCGATGGCAATAATGACAGATCAAAATCGCTGATAAAAGTGAGCTCGTGCGCTGCAGCTACCAATGTTGACGCGTGCTCAAGTTGCGTGGCTGACATTCGTTTTAGTGTTTATTTAGACCAGCGAAGCTCAGATTTCAGCACCGCAAAGCAGCACAAAGCATAGCTGCCTGGGTGCTGTAGCTTGTCGTGACGCGAACAAAACGGACAGATTATTTATCCAGAACGATGTAAGTATGTCGAGATTCGTATCGAGGGTCACATGGAGTACCGTCTTTTGTCATCGTATGTTACAGACGCTTGGTTTGCTATACAAACGGCTTCTTGTAGTAAGCTACCCTGATGGATCGAACGACGCAATCATGATAGGCTCCACCTGCAGCAAGACAGACAGCACCTGCCTCCTCGTACAAAGACATTCCTTGATGCCTGAGACTGCATCATAGCTAACTTCTAGCGTATATTCCTTGACTAGCATCGTCGTCGTTGATATCATTCAGTAGAGTAAACGTTTTGATTAAAAGGATCATCAGTCGCATTTGATATATGCAAAACCTGTACTGAATGGGGACTTGGGTGATGTATCCGCATTTTTGTCATTTTTTGCTGTAGACGAATGACCTGGGCGTCGCACGACTTCGTTTCGAAAACTGTGGCTCGTCTAGTCAATCAGATGCACTGTGCTGGATCCATGACGGACCGGTACATTTGGTCTCGACACTTGAGCACGAGCCGTGCATACCCAAAATGATACCTCGCAACAGCCTTCTACCTCTCCACTTGACGTCAAGCATCTGCAGCTTCCATCGTCTATACTACTGCAGAATGCATGCTGAACGATTAATCCTGTCGATCGACTCCTGACAAGATATCGTTGTCCTAGCGGAACAAAGGGAGTCTTTGCTGCGTAGAGCTCCGACTCGTATTTTCATCGTTGGGACACGTGCCGTTCATTGTGCAGATCTCGTAGTTATTACTCTGTATGATCAGCCGGCTTCTGCTACAAACAAGTCGTCGTCTTCACCGCTTCGATTGGAGTCAGAACGGCGATAGAGTAGATAGAGCTTGGAATATAAGGCGTCTAAAGCGTCTAGTGATAGTGCAGCTCTAAGCCTGTGTCCGTCTTAGTTCCAAGGTAAGGCGGTAGCAAAGTTGTAAGTCAGTGGTGCTAAGGTCCAAGCAACTGGTGCGTTCACTTGCACTATCGTCAAACCCAAAGCAGTGTGAATAGTACGTGCAGCAACAAGGAGCTGTCCTACATGAATCGAAGGGGACCATGATTGTCTCTCAGTGTTACCATTGTACCACAAAAATCGTTAAACTGCTTCTTAGAAGGCGTTGATGTGTCTTGTAGACACGACGCTGTCGATTCCAAACGACAGAAAAACAGATCCGCGTTTGCCTTGCAGTCAACTCTTTTGTCTCCTTTTGCTACCGTATAACTCGGCAGTAGATGCTTCTTGGCTGCACCGTCTAAGAGTCTTGCAAGGCACTTTCAACCTTGGTTTTATTTCACCCACACCGGTTTTTCGAGACGCGTTAGGACTCCTCTACAATGCAGCGCTTGGCTTTGCTGTAACTAATGTGCCGATAGAGAATTCGTGCTATGTCGTACGCACTACCTAGCAGCGCAGTCCACGGCCACGGGCGATGCACAATCCACTGGTATTAATACACCTACTGCACCATGTGAAATTACAGCGCTCGTCGGAGGTAGTGCACCTGGCCTTATCACTATTGTTAGAGCAGCTAAGCGCCAGTACGATCTTTCGTCTGACAGCTCAGTCGCCTGCTGACAGATAGCAGCGTCTCTGTGTTGGGCTGTAACACTGGTGGTTGCGAGAAGGCAGTCGCGGTGTTCTGTGTTTGCTTACATCGGTACTGTGGGGACTTGTGTTTCCACGGGCGACCATAATGTGAAGACAACCAGTCACTCATGGCCTCGAGACGTGACGACGATTAAACCGATTGCGTTAAAACACGCAACTGGGACTGTTGTCGTCCTGAAAGACGGGACAGATGCATTTGACAACAGCTTGTTCTTCTTTCCTAATCGGCGAGTCGGTAGAAGGTACAAACGTAGCTCCTTTGCCACAAAAAGGGCGCGACTCATCGCTCACTAGGGTACTAGAGGCAGTATACTGACTTCTTGCCACGTGACGACAAGATTCGTCCAGGTGTCTCTTCTCAAACGTACGACATCTTCTGGAATCATTTATTGTTACCAAGCGAACTGGACCTTCCGCCAAAGATGCGACGTATGATCCCGCACAATGCTCAACGATCGGAAAACTACGGCCATGCAAATTATCAGGCAACGGCGCCATGCTATGCATGATGATCGTCAGATTGCTGCACGAGCGAGCCTGAGTCGATGACTAGTGGACTCACAGCTGGTGTGCGCTTGCTGCCATGCATGCAACGTAAAGTGCTGCTCTAGTCGATCCACCGCAACACACGACTGCATTTGTGCATTTGTGCGTAAGGTGGACCCCGTATATTGTACTCCTCGTGAATTGACGCGCCATCTAGCCCTCTCTGAGCTTCTCAATGAAGGAGTCGGGCTGCAGGACCTGTGTCAACATCCGGTGCGTGAGGTGCGGATTTACTCTGATCACGGTGGCTTCCGGGTCCAACAAATCCTGGATGCATCGATATTTTATTCCGTGCCAGCTCCATACCAAATGTGCACTGACGAAGTACCCGCGCCCCATCCCGTGATGCTTATAGTATCGAGCTAGCATAGAATGAGAATGCAGGAAGGAGAAGGATCGTGTCATTGCAAACGGCGGGGTGATCAAACTGACCGAGAGAGTCGGGCGGTGATCAGTAGCTGTAATAGATAGTCTGAACGTCTTTATTACGAGAAGAAGCAGTGTCGCGATCGCTTGTTTTTTTACATGGATGTGCGCAAGACTCTCGGCGCGGGCCTCTAGAGTAAGACAAAGCACAGTGTAGGGCGGAACATGACACCCCCACCCTTCATCCCATTTCATCCTGGTACAAGTCTATGTTTCAGGCGCTCTTACTGCATCGCCTCTCTACACTGCAGAAGATAGGACATGCGTTTGCTAGAGACAGCTACAACGAGAGAGCGACCGCGACCACGGTCACTCTCCCTTGCGTGCACGTTGATGATGTAGAACGTGAGGTACCACCATCTGTGGTGGCGGGTCCCAAAGACCCCTGACGCCTCCTATTGATCCAGAGCGTGTAGTCGCCAAAGCTGTGACACATGTCGTGAGGACACTACCAGCCGTGGTGTCTACCCCTAACGACCGCTCACACAGCCCGATAGATTCGTACGATAAGCTAGTCGCTCCAGTAAAAGGGGCCCCGCGGCTCAGCTGCTTCTGGTCCAACAAAGAATGCCCCGCGGCTCAGCTGCTTCTGGTCCAACAAAGAATGTACGATAAGCTAGTCGCTCCAGTAAAAGGGGCCCCGCGGCTCAGATGCTTCTGGTCCAACAAAGAATGCCGCCGGAAAGGATCGTCCAGTGCGACCGATTTCAAACTTGTTGTTCCACAGTATCGCATGAGATTTATACAGAATACGCAGGTCGTCATGCGTCGATCAGGTGCATTTCCAAACAACCTGCGATATCGTATCGCTGGGCTTCCTGTCGGAAGCTCAATGGATTATGCACATCAGGCTTGACGAGTTACCCACACGTCGTTCGATCCAGTCTTTGACGCACTATCAGGGTTGTGAGTCCAACAGATCCTGGCCGATCAAAGCACCAATAGCTGCAAAGGGGTCCCGACGGCATGACAAGAACATACGCCATGTAAAAGATTCGGTTCTCTTTACAACGGCTCCTATTTGAACATAGTCGATGCAGCAAAGAAGAGAGCGTTTGTTGTCAGTCCTCGTCACTCCATATTTTCATCGCTCCTGTCAAGACCTCACTCAATACGCATGCGCGTCTTCACCTATGCCCTTGTGGCTTCATCTGCTCTTCTGGCACATGCTGACAGCGAGTCGGCGGCTGCGGACCCCTCGACGGCAAGACACCAGGATCCAGCTATCGCTCCCATGACTGCCCATCACAACGGCGCCCCTGCTAGCTCGTCGTTAAGGTCTCAAGACTTAACTGAAGATGAAACGGTCGGAGCGGGGGAAGCACGCGGATGGCTAAGCGCGGCTGCTGCGGCGTTCGAGCTCAAACATTTACAGGCGGGGCTCAGCGTTGGGGCTATGGAAAGCACTGCAATGGAAACGATGCTACAACAGATGCGAACCTTCGATACCATTCCCATATGCGAATTCAATCAGGCTGACGAGTGTCGAGCGGCACTAGCGCTCATGAATGTGTATAAAAATGGTTCTCCGCACGATAAAAAACTCGCGGAGAGACACCTATTCGGAATGATATTCCAGTGGGAAACTAGGGGTCTCACTCTCGCTGAATTAAAGAACGAGGTGCTGGAGGCGGGGCATATTGCAGGTACGCACGAAGACACAGTAAAGCATTACATGGTCTTCGCCTTGCTGAAGTTATATAGTGAGGTCATCGAGTCCGGTGAACCTGCTATTGGGTTCTACCAAAACGTTCTAAAGGATTATGGTAACCCTGAGGAATTTTACTGGCGATTACGCAACTGACGTACGCCTGGTAGCAGAAGTCTAAAAATACACTTATTTCCTTTTTTTTATTACCTGGCCGTTACACTTAGTTACCTCTGTGACAGATTACCGCCCTGTTCAGTGCCACGCTTTACATACTGCCCTGTTTGGTAGATACAGTAGAGCCTCCGTAAATTATTATTCTCCAAGTTAATAAACTCCCTTGCTTCAATAAAAATGTTGAGACCTATGTCGGGCCCGGACCGAATGTTAAATTACTCTCTTAATTTTATTACTAAAGCCAGAGAATTTTTCGTCATAAATATTGGGCTACTGCCGAAGGACCCCTGCAAGAAATTATCCAGAGTTTGTTGTTTGAGGGATTTTCGCCGAAGATTTCCCACTTCAAAGTGGAGTTGTCGTATCGGACACTCCCTTCCGGGTCAATGCCCCAGCTGTCAGATTTGGTTGTTATAGTGGGTGATTTGTGTATTTACACTAGGCTCTAATAAGTTATTTGTTTGGTCAGCGCTGGATACAGAAATATCTTAATTCTAGATTCGTCAAGCCACCGACGAGGCCCCCGGCGGGGGGCCGAAACGCGTCTGGTGTGCGTTTTAATATAGCAGTATTTTTTCATGACATTTCTTTGATCTACAACAATTGAATCAGCCCCGAGAACTCCTCTCCAGTCTCTTGCTGTAACTAGAGAGTCTTGAGCTCTGCAAGCATTGATGCAGCGTTCCGAATAGGGACGGGTGGTGCGGCCACGCTATCGTCCTGCTTGCTAACACGTGTAGCAAGCACCCTTCACTTCAACCCTATCCCCCTTAATTCTGCAATTTAATAATTCCCTATTTAGTCAAAATGTGACGGTCCCAGCCATATTAAATATGGCTATTTATATAAAATATGGCTGGGACCGCCACATTTTGACTAAATAGCTGTACCGACCGGGAGGCGCGGGTTCAAGCCCTGGTGAGCGCAGCGCACCCGCCTAGGTACGAATCTAAACCGCACCACCGACTGGTCTGAAAGGAGACGCAGCCGGTAGAATAGGTGAAGCAAGTGTGCAAAAGGTACGCCATCGAGTCGTAAATCCTGTAAGGTACTGATAGCAGGATTCTAGGCAGTTGAGGAACAATATGTGAAACTTCCCCGGATAGAAATGAACCTACCCAGCCGTATTAAATAAGGGAGACTCTACTGTCGTCGGTTGGGACGTGGAACCTAATTGCATGGCTACATTCTGCCATGTGACACTTGCATCCAGATGTTTTGGACGGAGTTGGAAGCTGGTCCTGACGATCAGGACTAGAAAACCCAATTATTTTTGGCGGAGGTAATCAGATTTTTAGTTTAAAGCATTGAAGCCCAATTTTAGAGCAAATAAAACCACTGTTTTTTTGGCCCGATGAGCGGGCGTCACTGGAATGATTTACTGCCAGAATCATCATCACCGTCGTGCACGTAGTCATGGAAGATTGCCAAGTTTGCTTCCTGAAGTCACTTTGTCATCCCGCCTTAGGTTGATGTAGTTTCTTAACCTGAGTGAATGCCGCCGCATTGATTATCTCGATCCACTGAATACCAATGGTCTGCAGTCGTGCTTCATCGAATGAGTCGCGGGGATCGTCGTCTACAGGAAAAGTAAACATGGCGTCCTCTAGCTGTAAGTGATTTCACTTCGGCAGTCCACTTCTGATACATTACAAGAGTTGAGGTGTATCTTGGCGCTTTCGCTCTTCATACGGTGATTCACCAGAGCTTTTTAGTGCATGCATTCGGTACTCTTGGCATTTCGTGGAGACGCATCATCAATCAACCAGTTCCAGACTACGCTAGCAGAGCGACCACGTTTCCATTCTGGCGCCCGAACTCGCATTTCGATATCGTCGTCAACGACCATTATGAAGTCCAACTTGGTGACCTGCGCGTCTCGCTTCTAAAGGTCGAGAACGTGTCGTTGAAGTTATCGACACGCTCGTCAAACTGGCTCGGAGAATACGACAATTGCAACACAGTAGTAAGTACGGACAGAGGATGCTAATATTGCTAGTATACTGGTGATACACTTTATCTTATGCTTCCTTGCAGTTGTGGGGATCGGCGGCCGGTCGGATCGTGCGTGAGTCACACGATAATCGGGGAATATAACCGAATAAAACCTGATATTGGAAGACTACAGACTGTCGGGTTTTGATTAGAAACCGTAAGAACCCGATTGAAAAAACACTTAGAATAATCTGGAGTCCAGATCATTCCCATTCATTTTCACAGGAGATTTTTGCTGCAATTGATGGTGCTTACCCAACACTACAGGTAAGCACTCTCCTGCAGTAGAAGTCGTGTAAATCAAGGTCAAAATAAGAAACCGTGCTTATTGATGGTCGTAAAAATCATGTAGCCATCGATCGAGGGTCTTACTGACCACGCTTTTGTGTTGAATGACATGGAACCCGTCTACAAATACATCGTCGTACACCGAATTAGCACGAGCCTAACGAACCCACTGGTGGTCATTTGTCACGACGATGTGCAAGACAAAGACAGAAGAGAAGACATAGTATCTCTATCGGCAGGCGCTAGGGACATGTACAGATGAAGACACCGCCATCGCGCTGCACATGATATCCGGTTCGAGATACCGTCGATTTTACCATGCACTACACTAGACCATTTTCCAATTCGGATCTCATCCATGCACTCGCCGTTCCATGCGCCTGACAACAGGTCACTTTGCACAAATGCAACATACTCATTAACTCGCCATTAGTAAACAATCGAGCGGTAGTAAAACGATGGCATTCGTTAACATCCTGCAAATGCACTTCTCTACAAACCACCTCACGCTGGTGGACGGTTGGCTCAATTGGCGCTCACCGTGACCGCAGGATGTGGCCGAATTCCTGCCCGTCTGTGAAGATTCTGTCGACAACGTCGCGCATGTATTCGAGACGCACGAGCGTAGCGCAGATGTAGCATTTTCTGCTGCTAGTTCTCTCTAAGACAGATGCCACTCGAGCAGCACCATGACTTCTTAAAAGACAGCTCGATACTGACAAACTTCGGACGCAAACTGGATCCAGATTGTGCGTGCCTTGTGTATGCTCGTCATACTTGACGCTGCGTCTCGGCCTTCGCTGTTACCTACAGCCTCGCCTCGTCCCATCCGTATATCGCTACCGTTGTAGTCATTTCGGTAGAAGGAATTCTACGATAACTAACGTCATGCTTTTCTGCTGCACCACGTGCGAGTGTGCCGCGACACCATTCATTACTGGACGTGACGTGTCGCTGGAAGTGCTGAACGATTCCTCGTGGATTAGAGGAGACTGTCACGACAGATCTGGCCCGTGGCTGGCAGTGGAGCTTGAGTCTTGGAGAGTAAAATGGAGAATCTATATCTACTTGGAGGGAAATTAGGTAGGCTGGACTGGTGGAAACAAAAGGAACCTAGCCTGGTGCATTCGTCTTTGCAATCATCGCCTGGTGCAATCACCGTCTGTTCACGCAGGTCATTCACGATACCATCTATGTCAGTCGGCAAAGCAGATACCACCGAATCAATACACGAATGCTCGCCCATAACCGACATTAGCGTGTGATCGGGTGCACCTGTATGATCCCTCAACATGAACAGCAGTGGAGATGGTAATATACTGTAGCAATCGCCCTCGTTGGTCTTGTACAAAAGACTCGAGGACACTCGAGGATTTCCTAAAACTCGTTGATCAATAAAAAGTTCGTGGCTGGTCTGCTCATAAGACTAAATCTTCGTGAGTTGTCTCCTGTCGTCGACATCGATCGGTGGTAACCCGACAGCAACAAGTTGATCACGTAAAGTTGAGCACGGTATCGCTGATTCGACTACGAACGCCCTCCATGATCTTCGAAACGTCTACTCGTACGCTGTCAAGCAGATAGTAGTGCACCACTTTTGCGACGTAAAGCTGCTTCTTTCCGTCATGCAAAGACACGTCAGTGCCGCTTCAAATGAGTTCAGTGCCCTCAATCGTGCAGCCCAAGCCCAATGCAGCGGTGCTGTCGTTTCCAAAAATCTTCATCACATAGGAGAACACTGTTTCATTCAGCAGGTACAAGTCGAGCAGCTCGACACTGCTTCACCAAGAATGTGTTTTGACAACGGAATCGAGAGCCGACCTTCCAGCAGAATCTTTCCTGATAGTTTCCGAAGAGAACATACGTCTGATACAATACAAAGCACACGCAGGTAAGATTCCAACCATCCAGATTGAAGCCTACACCGCGTCGACAGTATATCTGCAACTCCTTTGCAGTTTTATTTGCAGCCGTTCGATTGATCCAGTGTCCTTGGTGTGCAGCCGAACAAGCGAGTGACAACAGCCCTGTATCCACCATAAATAACTGACTACGAGTTAGATGCAGCCATTCCCGCACAACGTCTCCACCGCCCACGCCGAAGTCGTTGATAAAATCAACTTGAAGGCGACGATGCAGAGTTCTCCAGGGGCTGCCAAGAAAAAAGGTCCATCGATTGCTTCAGCACTTTATCGCGTTGATAGCCTGCGCAACCACGACACAACTAAAGGAGAAAAATACCGATAAGCCAAACACAACAAAGGGGGGAAGTGATTACGTTAGTCCAACTTTAAACTCACGGCAGCGAAGAGCGATGCGGAAGTGACGTGAAGGCTCACGCTTTAGTTAAGTGTAAGCAGGGAACTACTGGTCACACCATCTTGCAACCCTGTCTTTGCCGTTCATTTTGCGAGGACGTTGTGTCCCGTATCTTAAATCTGAAGAGTGCTCGCTGATGAAGCCTTTCATAGACCCTACAACGGTGATGCGATGCTGGCACACGTCTCTCCTCTCGCCGAGCAATGTAGACAACCACGATGGAGGATAGATGGAGAAGCTGTTGCAGTAGCAGATTGAGACGCTAAGAAAGTCATCGACTGCGTCAGGAACGCTCCTGAAACCAGAGAACACCCCACAGAAGCACTAACTTATCTAATGTTTAGGAACTGCATTAAGCTGACGACAACCAAATTGCTAGCACTATAGATGTGCACAAGACGTACAGCTGGATTGACGTTGAGAAAGACGCCTCTGTCATTCGTTGGGGGCACGTGCAGGGACTGGAATGGGCTATGGACGTCGTATTGCCACTTTGTGATGGAAACGTTCATTTCAGGCAGCTTGGTCGCATCTATTGAGGTCACATTCTGATTAATCAGGGACTCGACCCTTTCTGTTAAGCAGATAGTTGCGAAAGAAAAATCGATCCTTCAATATGCAACTATCCTGTGTCACTCCATCTACTCTTTGACTCAAAACCACGAACCTCACGCGAACTCGATTGTGTCGTAGCACCACGCACGATACATTCAGAATAATGCGAGAACTTTGGCAGCTTGATGATGTGTTTACGATACAACCTAACAATGACTTTGGAATTCGCTTCCTTCGAAGCCGTGCAAAATCGGCGCTGTTTGTGTGGAATGGGACGGTGGTATCGCACGATTTTCAACGCTGCGCTTCTTGTGCGCTCGGCATACGCAATCGGTACGACGTTACGAAAATGTCGATGCTAAATCAGATGCAACAAGGGTTGAATTCTAAAACTAGTACCACGGGATATCGACAATCGTGGGGCTTGATAGCTAAGCTCAGCTGATGCTAATGATGGTGCGATGTCGAAACCAAATTGAATTCGCGTCTGTACAAACAACCTGGCTACGTGTGTTGCTCCGTCTGTCTCAACCCTCACTGTTTCCTTCAGCTATTGTCCCTGACCGAGTCCTGTCATCTATTTGGTGGACCTAGTACCCGCTTGACGTACCATCTGTGCATGACACGAATTGATGTGAAGCGGCGTGGTTTCGCGCGGCGCCCACTTGAGATTATAGCAACAAGATGCGGGAGTAAATTTGCAACCTTTACTGGTTCTGGCCCTTGCATCTTCAAGCTGTACTAGTCGATGCGTGGTATGCGGCAGCTCATTGATCGGGCTTTTTGCCACGTCTTATGACCTCCTTTTAGCTCTTCTTCAGTCTCCCATTCTACCAGAACGGATCACCGATTAAGACATTGGACTTCTCAGCGTTAGTGATGTCCGACGACACTTCAGATACAAAAATTGCTTCGGTCTGGCCGCCCATTTGGAGAACCTAGTGGCACTTTACTTGTGCTTGGTATCCTTTTGCTCCAACGATGAAGTATGAAGCACTTAATAGACATGCAAATCATTCGACAAATCAACCTCTTGCGATCCAGGATGGACGGTCTTCACGATGTAGCAAGCGAACAAAGCGTCGTGCCAGCTTGCTTGTCTCCGCACAAGTCGACCGTAGACGTTGTGAATCAGTCCACCACATATCGAATACGTATTGATGTGCGACATGACGCACATGAGTGATGATGAGCTCTAGCCATGACAATGAAGAAGTTGACGTTTTCAAGATTAAGCCACGTCCTGTCCATTCGATCCTCCTCAATAGCGCATGGTTATGTAGGTGAAAAATGACGACACACATTCGACGTAGTAACATAAAGCATAATGTGAGCCGCACAGCTAGTACTTTGTAAGCGTAAGCGCTGGAATGATAAATGACTTTGCTGCATTACTACTAACTGCAACTACGACATGGGTGTAGTACACCAGCGAACAGAACCAAGTCGGTCATGTTGGGAAAGAACCAACATTTCGCAGTGATGTACGAGGACTTCAGCTGATCGCACCTGTAGATTCTAACGCTGTCGAATTGTTCCGAGTATCCGCCCAAACAAAATCGGCTTTGCAACAACAGTTTGCACTGAAGTTTGTGCAGAAGATTCTTGTTCCGACGTCTATAGGCGAAGGTAATACCAAATCTGCATATGGCGAAAGTCGAGGTTATCGGTGGCTACTTTCTGTGTGCTTGTTTGTTGCAGAGATATCCAAGAGCTAAACATAGTGTCGGAGCTTGTTCCTTCGCTAAATTTGCACATAAAGCAGTCAGAAATGCGATGACGATACCTGTTAGCGTTTACTTGATTCGTGTATCACACAGACATCAGGTTCCTATTCAGCTTTCCATTTTCTTTCACAGAAAGCTCTATTTCTAATCGAAGTTACCCAAACGGTATCGATCCATTGTATCGAGGGATAAAATATCGCTAAGAATTCCGGTGTAGGTGATAAATCGGCCTTGAATTAGCCTACAGCTGACCAAAGTCTCAGTTTTGATTCCGCGTTATTTGCACCAATCAGATTGACGATCGTATTTCTCTGCCTTCGAGCGAGCTATAACTCCGAGCAAACCCTTTCGTCTTCAAGATGTCTCTGGCAAACCACTCGGACGCGTCTCCCTTCTCGCTGCTACGCCAAACTGCCACGGCCTCGTCAATGCAGTGGACCGACACGATTCTCTGGTTATTCCTCGCTGTCTTCTTGATCGTATCGTCCCTTTTCTGCTTCAGTTACCGTCACTGCTGCCGATTTCTACCACGACGACCGAATGAGGCAATGAGGCCACGCGACATGGAGGAGCCACTATTGGGAGCGCTCAGCCAGAACCAAATGCCACCACTTGTCCGCCATTCGCTTGCTCGCGAGTTTGAACCGTCGGCGCCTCCATTGTGCTGGGAACTGGAGCAACGTGGATCCTCTTCATGACGAGCCAGCGACTCGTTTGGAATTCGGGGGAGAAATGCCGGACGTTCCGGCGTTGATTTGCTGCATGTGCTCGGGATTCGGGATCAATCCAATGGTGCCAGACCTCGTGGAGATCGACGTGTACAGGTTCGATTCGTAACGCCTAATTCGGGGTACTGGCTGCTGTGGATCCACCCTCATTAGCACGCGCTGATCTACTGGACACGTCGACTGCTGGAGTCATTGTCGCCTTCTCCTCTTTTGTCTCTTCTTCGTCCGAGCCCAAGATCATTTGGAGCACGCTCCGGTTCTGCTCCAGTTCTTGTTGTTGCAGTGACGGCACAGCAGCAGTGCTCGCCTTGATCTCATGTCGGTGCATTGAAAAAAGCTGGGCAAGGTTTTGACATGTGAGAGAATGCAATTCATAAACTTCAGCAATGGCGATGCGACGTACCTCGCGCAAAAGCTGGTACAACGAATTCACTTCGAGCCCCATGGCAATTGTAATCCCCTTTGCGTGCTTTGTCGAGTCCAGCTCTATAGACACTGCCTGGATACCAAACGACGCCGTTTCGATAACGTTCAGGACGTCATCGAAAGGGATGATCGCTGTGTGCGCGAACATGGGCACCATGGTCCGATATATTAAGTTTCTACAAGCACAATCATTATCCACGATCCACGACGAACCAGACGCGCACATTGTGCAAACGTCAGCCTTGCGGGTACAGATAATGTGAGTCTTTCTTTCTTACCCATACGTTACGTGAAGGGTGACGGGAATGCCATTGATCACGCAAGAGGTCTCGTAAAGAAGCACACTATTTCTGCTGGCGATTGATAGATGCCACCATGACCACGGTTAGTCTACTGTCGATTCAGCGCAAACATGCGAGTGCGTCGTGAGTAACGTACCGGTTGTCATCGGCAGATTCATTAAGGTATGAGACTTGGGCATCTCTCCTGTCATATCCACCAGACACAATCAGTTGGAGTCAGCTGAACATCGCGAATCTTGCGATTGACAAACTCACGCCTCCACGATCGCCCGGATCGCACGAGCCCGCAAGCTTTGCGCAGCTTCCACCCGTGCAGTAACCTGTCGTCGTTTCTCTTCGATTTTCGCTCGTAGTCGTATCTCACAGTCTTCTTTGCACGCCAATCGCAGTTTTTGCACCATCTCGGAAATAGCTTCGCCATAGATTTTGTCCTGTGCCGCTGGTGTTGCCCGACACTTTGACATGGAGGGATTTTTGAGCTTTATCTCGTGCGGCAAAGGCGCCAACCCTTCTTTCCGATCGGATACGTTCTCTTTTATTGACAGATCTTGAGTACCGGCAACAATCACGCTCTCGCTCTCCTTCAAGCACGCGTCATTTGTAACCGTGCCCACCAGCCTAATCGCGCACTTCTTCAAGGTCGGTTCAAGCAGACCGATTAGCTGAGCGCAAGCGAATTCTTGGTCATACGCATAGGATTCCAGGGGAATGCATAGATCCTTCATATTTGTCTTCATTTCACTAGAAACACAATCATAGCACCTCAGCTGCATCAGCGTACCCAAGCATGTACCACATACACGAGACGCACCTGCTGAACGCTTTCTTCAAGTCTTCAACGTACCCTTCATCCAGCTCAGCTGTTTGCACTGCAAGAAAGGACCCAACCACCCAAAACCGTGAATATAAACTCACTCGTTATGTACCAGCTCCATCTCAGCAGCAGCAAAGCCAATAGCCGCTACCTGAATCCATCGAATTTTCCGGCGTCGACATGTACAAATGACTCATCGGTAGACACTGACTAAGCAGTGTCGACTGAAAGGCTCCTAGTAGTTGGTCGAGAGCGTACTTGTGCGAATCCTTGGCATCTCGAGCAGTCCACAACCTGCTGCTTCCTGTTGGCATCATGCCACCCAGCAGCTTGTTCTCGTTCATGACCAACGTACAGATATCAATCACCCGAAGCTTGGACGACGAGACGCCAACGCGTACGTAAACATTGAGAAATGTAGCCATATTGGCCATTCCATGGGCCATCGATTCGTGCACCACGCGCTTGCGGAACAGCACCGACTCGGCGTCTTCTTCAGCGATTAACAGTCCTTTACTGATGCAGACAGTAGCAAGGAGCTCTTTAATGACCTCCCAGGAGCGATCGGGACGGATATGGACCTCTAGAATCGTCCAGTGGCTCGGATCTTTTTCCACTGGCAAGCGCGTGAGCCACAGCGGCATCGCTCCCTTGTCTTCCAGAGCTGCGGCTACGTCCAGGAAGGTGAAGTCCGGATGGTCCTTGACAGCGCTCCTGGCGTCCTGCTCCATTGGATCTGCGTCCCGCACCATCTTGTTCAGGCCGAACTCGTCTTCCTCGTTCATTTTGGTGATTTAGTTCGTTCTAATGTTCGTGTCTGGTTGATTTAGAAGAAGAAGAAGAAGCAAGAGTGGCTAATTAAGAAGAAGTAAGCGACACAGATCTAGATTGAGTCGACTGTTTTATGACCTGTTTTGATCAACATTGTGTGAGTGGAGGCGATTGGTTATCAGTTAGTTTATGACTGGCAGAAATGACTGAACTATGGAAAGCGCGGCGTCTTGGTCTAAAGCTGGACAAAGAGGTCAGAAGACTGCGTCCGTCGTGGACGATTCTGTGTCTTATTCGTGAGGTTTTTTGTCGGGATCATCAGTCTGATGCAGTTGCATGTTGCGTAGATCCAACAGCTACAGGTTACGCTGAGTGAACTGGATACGGTGAGACCGAAAAAGGTGCGACATGTGTGTATTTGCGATACTTGGTGATTGTATGCGGAAACTTGGTAATGAAGTGTGGGTATCGATAGTAGACCACCTACATCAAACGAGCCAACGTTTTCTTCTTGGAACAAAGAGATGCTATCGTCCAGACCAAAAAGAGTGAGCGACGTGCATTGGATGTCGTCGTTTTAATCAGTGGGTAACTAGAACTTCTTATTTATGATGTGCAGACGAGCTGAAAGACAAGGAAAAGATGCGGTATGATGTTGGACTGGAGCTCCGTAACTTGCACTAGTGCACAACAATGGTTACACTGCCTGACTTTTGGCGACGTCTGGTCAATCAGACCTGAATTTAGGTAAAGTCTTGTCGGTCCAAACAGTAATGATGGACATCTCTGCTTTGTCAATTTGAAAAACAAATAAACAGGTTAACGGGACGAGCGTCTTTGAGCAAGTAGTTGAAACCAATGATACAGGTAGTCACGAAAACGAAGCATACTCTGTCGATGCCATCACAGCCAGTTGACCAAGCGAGGTGATGTTTAATCAACTGGCACGTTTACCAACGTGCAGTGCAGCGTGTATACATCTCTAGGTTATGTAGCAGTGCATCTCGCGGCATGACCTCTCATGTTCCATCATGTCGCAAGAAGAGTGTCGCTGGTAGAGGACGCGCGGTGGCGCAGCCATCGTTTCACAGATGAGTTAGCGAGGGACTTGTGCATGGCCGAGAGGAAGTCGGCATCCACGTGAGCGATCACTAACTCGCGCACTTCTTTCGCGAGCAGCTCTCGTTCCTTCTGTAGCACCGCGATCTGGTCGGCATGTGCCGTACTGCTAAAGAGGAAGTAGACGTTCTCGACGATGGAACGGCTCTCTTCCAGCATGCGAATGTGCGAGTAAAGAAGCAGCGGTAATGCCACTGCCAACGTGTACACAAACGAAGCTCCAAACATATACCAAGTTGCAAGGAGAAGTACGAGCCAATGCAGGGGCACCAAAACACTGCACATATTGCATGTCAGTTCAGTAATGTACTCATCCGAGAGGAAGCAAAGCAGAAGTCTACGCACCCGGCAGCAAAAATCTTCAACATCGATTTGGATTCTACAAATCCCGCGCGACTGTTGATCTTCGTTCCTGTTGACCAGCAAGAACGATATCCCATCGGTAAATCTCAGTTCAAATTCATCAAGCACAAAAAGCACGACTTACCGATAAAGTAATAGGGGAAGTATAGCAAAAAGCCGGGTAGCGCTAGAGACAGCAGCACAAGCAGATAAAGAGCTCGTCCCAGAAAAAGCAGCACAAGTGATTGTTCCTTCGGAACTGACATCTTCAACTCTTGGTCCTTTAGTCGCAGCTTTTCCAACTGCTCTTTGTATCGCAACACCTTAGCTCGAATCGTGCCCATTCGCTCCACGTGTTCATCATCCTGTGGCTCTTTCTCCAGCATGTCGATTATATGCTGCGTCAAGCGAAGTTCATTCATGGCATCGATGGCACCAGGTGTACTCAAATACAAACGCCGCATCATGCGAGCTGCATCAATGGTGCTAAACTCGGACGCGTTTAGCGTCACGCCATGCATGCACTTTTCCAGCTCGAGCGTCAGGCGCTTTACTTCACTGTGTTCATTCTTCTCAAACTCGTCGCTGTGCACCATAGCAGGCGTGATGGTCATACACGGGCCAAACTCGAGCGTCATCTGGCTCCGAAAGCGGTCCTTATTAAAGTAATTGAGTCCAACCGGAACGATCGGAATCGGCTGGTCATAGTGCTTGACAAACCCCGTGGCCACCCGCATGACCCCTGTCCGCAGTGACAGCATCTTAGGTGCAGTATACGACGTCCCTTCAGGGAAGAGCACCATGACATTCCCGCCCGCAAGCACTCGCCACGTGTGCTCGAACATGGCACGATTGGCAGCTTCCAGCTCCTCCGGACTCTTGTCCGAGTCCACGTCCGCCAGCGTCGCCTCTGCACGTCGTGGACGATACACTGGCACTGCTCCTAGTGTCCTGAGCACGAGCGCTGCAATCGCATTACGGAAGAGCGATCCCTTGGCCCAGACGTACGGACTGCGGCCGAGTGTAGCCACTTCCGTCATCACGAGCACAGCGTCGACGAGCATATTCGGGTGGTTAGGGCACAAGATCACGGGTCCCTCTCGTGGAAAGTGGTTGAGACCGTAGAGAGCGATCCGGCGGAAGTACGTGTGCAGCAGCAGGCGCAAGAAGAGCACCGTGAGCGCGTAGCCCTGGATGGCGACGACCAGCGCCAGCGCCACGAGCGCTAGAGCGAGCCACAGCAGTGCCGAGACCATGCGATGGACGTGGAGATTGAGTCCGCCGTGCGATTGGCGTGAGCAGCTCGATGGTCGCAATCGTGAGGTCTCATTGAATGGCATAAACTTGCGATACAGCATACTGAATGAACGGAACGCCGGTCTCTCGGTTGTCATGGTCCAGACTTGCGTCGATTTGTGTGTGGGACACATCAATCCAGGTGCACTGCACGCATTAATAGGAATGACCTTTTCGCTTGGAACTTCAGTTTCGAACGTGGTTTTAGCGATTATGGAATGGAAGTTGTGACGATTTATACCGTCGAGGTAACAAATGACGCGACAGTCGGAAAAAGAGTGACGCTCTTCGCGACAATGGCGGACCAAAGTGTCAACGGGCATGCGGACAGAATAGGCGGCGATGACAGTGCCTGCTCCGCTTCGTAACGGGACTATAGCGTTCGGCAGCCGTCCTTGCGAAACGCTCATCTTGCTACGCCGGCATGTCAAGTCCACAGCAGCAACAGCGGCATCTGCAGCAACAGCAGGACCAGCACGTTGGGACGGCTGCTTGCTTGTCTGCTCTGCTGTTCCAAATGATCAATAGCGTGCGACGATTGTCCATGCGCGACATCGTGGGACATGCGTTGACTAATACTGACGTGGCGGCTGCAGCTGTTTTTGGATTTCGTCCGAATATTCGCTCGCTCTTATGAGCGCTTGCTTCAGCATGAGTGATGCGTAATCAGGCCCACCATCTAGTTGTCGTTTCACCTGCCGTTAGTTACGATTGTCCTTCTGCCCTCGTCAGTTCATTCTCAAATAGCATACCATCGCGATATGACTCCACACCATACTAAATCACAGTCGACCGACGACCGACAGTACAGTGGGATCTGATACAATACAATTCGACTCAGCAACGGGGTGTTGCCAACCTACACATACATCCACAGATATTACATCCATACAACCATGCATACATACATCCATACATACATCCATACATACAGATCAACACTCGTCCTCTCCATCGGTTGGACGACTGAAACCAGTAGTCGTCGTACAAGAGAAGAAGACATTTCTCCACTCGTGCGACTTTTGATCGACGGTCCGTACGTGCGTCGAACAATAAGGTTTCAGGGCCCGAGCGTGCGTTGCGTGCATGTCTTGACGTCAGACAGGCGGCGAGACCAGGCAGTAACGCCGCATGTGTAGCTCGACGTGAGTGCTGTCGCGACGCAGAAAAAGGCCGACTCGCCGATCGCAAGGCGAGTGGCCAGTCCGCACATCGTCACACACGAATCCAGCGCCTTCCAACCAACCGGACGAACGCCAGTGTCGGAGTTTCCAGTCGCCTCCAGTGCCTCCCACGTTGTTCCCCTCAGCCAAAGTCCCTTGAGCCGTCATCACCACAGTCACAACCACAGCTCGTTGGTCGCTCCACTCGGGTATTCATTCACCCCCTCCCTTGACATCGCTCAGTGTGTGGGAATTGCTCACTTGACAAACGGACGTCATCCTTCTGGACCCCCTCGATCATCACCACCATGACCAACAGCTTCCAGACGGGAGTGCAAGTGTTTATCCCCGCGGCGCTGAATCGACCCACGCACACGCTCTACAGTATCTGCATGTTGGTGCAGCCAACGAATCAGGAGTGGACCGTCAACCGCCGCTACTCGCAGTTCCTGCAGCTCCGGAAGGACATTCAGCACACATTAGCTGCCCAGAGCGCCTCGTGTGCAAACTGTGCGAGCTTCAGTCGTGCACTCAGCCACTTTCGCTTTCCAAGCAAGTCGCTTTTGCGGACGAATTCCGTCGTCCGCCATCGCGTCTCATCGTTGCAAGACTTCCTCAAGCTGGTGGTAGGACGCGTGTACAACGACGTCCCCAAGTGCAGCACGTGCGGCCACGAGATTCAGAGGATGACGCGGCCGTTCCTCATTCGAGGAGCACAGCCGATCAATGGATCCATTCTGTCCAAGATCAACAAGTCCCTGTCGCTGGACTCCTATGCTTTAGTAGACCAGCCAGTGGTGCCCGTGCCGGATCCGACGCCGCCTCTTTCCCTCACGATTGCGGGCAGGGAACTCTTTAGCGCCAGTAAATCGTCCAGCAAACCCATTTTCACACATAGTCCGAGCTCACGTGGCAAGTCCAGCTTCTCGCACAGCAAGGTCAAGCTCAGCACTGCATCGGATGGTGCATCTACCCAGCCGAACGAGTCGGAAGATCCTATCATGGATTACTCAGACAGCGATGAGGATGGCTATTGCTATGGCAAGAAGTACGACGATCAGCTGTGCTACGATGAAGGGGTGCCTCTTGAAGATGCCATGAAACAGGTCGTGTTGCCTGATGGAGCTCGTGCAACGTGTGAAGAAGTTGTTGTCCGACTCACGACGATGTGGGCCGCGTACCATCTTGACGAGGCCCTTTCATCGTTACCACCCGAGCGGCTTTCACAACAAGCCAATTTTATCGCGATAGACGAGAAGGAGTACGCGTTTTGATGGTGTGCTGCATTGTCCTCCATCTCGAAGGGCAGCTGCTAGCTGGAATTGCCGGCGTTGTGCAAACTTATAATGAAGCAGTCCGAATGTCAAAATATCACCGCAGCCAACAGACGGAGATTACCGTGTTCTGCCCAATACTGAACATCACTGCAGGCGGCAGCATACAAGCTGCTGCATTTCGTTTCCACACACACGTTTTGGACTTTACAGCGCTCCGAGAACTTCTATAGCTTTTCAGGATCAGCGATACCCGTGGCAACTACAGAAACGCGCACTTTACCGTCCAGCGAGTCGTCAAACGTCGAACCGAAGATTATGTTGGCGTGTGGATCATCGAGCTCTCGTGTTACACGTTCTGCAGCTTCGTCAACCTCAAATAGTGTCAGATCGGAGCCTCCAGTGATGTTTACAATCATGCCCTTGGCGTCCTGCAAGTCACACGAAAAAAGGACGTTAGACGATGCAGCTCGAGTGTCATTGATACAGCAAGAAGCGACTACCTTGATTGAAATGTCCCCCAGAAGAGGATTTGCCAGCGCGTCATCTGCAGCACGCAAAGCTCTGTTATCGACAGCAAACAGAACTGGTCATTAGCTGGTTGTACAGAAATGGCTTAGAATTGTAAAGCTCACAAACCTGTTTTCTCCGTCAGCCTCTCCGCTCCCCATCATGGCGTTCCCCATATTTTGCATCACCTACAGCGAAGTCAGTGGGATACCACATTAGACGACGACTAGTCATAACTATAACATCATTGATAACATCTGAAGCTGCTTACCGACTGTACGTCAGCAAAGTCAAGATTGATAAGTCCTGGCATCACCATCAGGTCCGAGATGTTCTTGACACCGTCCAGTAGCACATTGTCCGCCATTCTACACAATAGATGGAGCTTACTTGAAGTTGTCCTACTACTCGGAGACAACAGACCAATTCACGTACCGAAATGCGTCCATCAATGACGTACGTTCGTCCGACATGTTGAACAGGTTCTGGTTTGGGATCACAAGCATCGTGTCTACACTATCCTTCAGCTCAGCAAGACCCTGCGCCGCGAGCTTTGCGCGATTGTTGCCTTCGAATCGAAACGGCTGCGACCAAAAGAGTACGCCGTTAAGCACAGCAGAGCACAGCCCCAAACAAACTATTCTATGGGTCAGACATACCTTTGTGACGACGGCTACCGTGAGAATACCAGCATCCAAGGCCGCCTGAGCAATAACGGGTGCGGCACCAGTTCCAGTGCCACCGCCCATGCCTGCAGTGACAAACATCTATCGACACAAAAGTGCAACAAAAAAGACCGACATCCTTTACCGCCGCTCTAACAGTTTTGTTCGCTTCAGCACGGGTTGTCAACGCAGCGTACCATGTTTGCACCCTGAGTGCGTTCTAGTATCTCATCAATCGCTGCCTCGGCTGCCTCCCGTCTACCATAATAAACACGTTATCAAAACCATTACAGCAACGTTAGAAACAACCTGCCTCTCTAGATCTCGCTACTGATCGTCTACAACACCCGACTCTCACCCAACTTCAGGGTTAGCACCACAGCCCAGTCCTCCAGTCAACTCTGGAGCCATTTGAACGCGGTTCTCAGTCAGTGTCGTGCGCAAGTGCTGCGCGTCCGTATTGCAAACAAGGAAATCGACACCCTGCAAACCGCGCGCGATCATGTTGTTCACTGCCCCTCGATCCCATCATCAAGCACCACGAATGAATCACCCACGACATCTGTCACACTTCCAGCATTGTACCCACTCACCAGCGTTGCCTCCAGCCCCTCCGACACCAACCACCACTATTTTGGGTGCAAAACCCGACAAGTCCGTCACAGGATGGTCCTGTGTGAGCCACAGCGGCTGAGAAGAGCTTCCCGCAGGCGGCACGAGCTTCTTCTTCGTCTCCTCTGGTCCTTCCGTAACCGGAATGTCCTTCATTAGCACTGCACGCTCATCCTCAACGGCTTTCGTGTCGTCCTCTGCTTTTTTAAAGCCCTAGAAGAATTAGTGGACAATCAGGTACAAGTCAGACGTTACTTTGGGTGGTTTAGTATGGGACACGCGTGCAGGATCCACTACCATGCGCAATGCAGCAGCTGCGGCGTCCGTTGCTTTTGTTGACAACGAGAGCCGCTGAGCAGTACCGTAAGAGCTACGAGACGCACGCCACAGCGCGGCTTTCGTCCGGGCACTCGCCATTGGAATTGGGTCGCTGGGAACCAGCGAGCAAGACAAAGAGACCAAATTTAGTCCATTTTGGTCGCGTTGCTATTTTAATTTCAGCGATGCAGGCGAGCAAAATAGTCCCGATTTGTTGTAGCTTTTTTGTAATTTACTGTGGTAAAGTGTAGCCATGTCCGACGTAGGTCTGTAGCCGATCGATCGCTGATGTGTCTTCGTCCGTGCATGCACTATAGCGTATCTGCACCTGTGCCATGGACATCCACTCGTCAATTGCGCATCGGCGTTACGCATTCTCTCGACGTCTCTTGGCTTCAGCTCCTACTCGACTAAGCTTCTTGCTCTCCGTCTTCTTCTGGCCGCGATGCTTCTGCTTATCCCAGCGCGACATTTTCAAGGAATCGCGACACCCAGCACCACCTTCCCAATGGCAAGAGGTTGACTTCTTACTAGCCACGTCGTTGCCGCACGAACACACCTTGACGGAGCTCGATTGTTCTTTCGAACACAAGCCGCAAATCATGCGACTTGCGAATTTTCCCAGATTGGCCTCCGGACAGTCACTCGAGTCGTGGCAAACGTCACACGGGAACGCTTTTCCGCAGCACTGGAATCGAAACCAGCGCTGCGAGTGCTTGTAATGGTCACACGTTCCATTACGAGGCAACGGCTGTCCGAGCACAAGCACTTCTGCGGGTTGCCTGGGTCCTTTCGTTCCCTTCGCGATCTTTGGAGCAGCGTCGGTACTCTGCTGCATGGATGTACTCTTTACCGGCGCTGCAATAAACCGTTTGGCCATTACAGCAAGTTTGACGTGGCAGGAGAAACAGGCTTGCTCTGATCGCTGTTGCGGCCTTACTCTCGCAAGTAACGTCTCGCATCCACACTCCAAGCACGTGGCTAGCACATCGCTGGGGAGAACGTCGACGATACTGCAATTCTCCGTGTCCACGTACGCAAGCACATTGCTCATCGAGTGCGCAAACACTGGCCGCATAGACACGTGATGGAGCACACTGCACCGTGGACACCACTTCTGAAGTTCTGCGGCGTCCAGTCGAAGAGATGCATCGAACTTCAAGGGACAGTTACCACATTGAATCTGGCACACCAGGTCATGCACGACGAGAGTGCCCACTTCGTGCAAGAATAAATCTTCAAAGCAAATACGCGTGCCCTTTACTTCAGGTTCCGTCGAGATTGGCACGCGTTTCTCAGCTGGAACGATCTTCGAGTTGTCGACGTATTCCCCGTTTTCACTTGACTCTGCTGTTCTTTCACCGGTGTCCATCTTTTCAGCAGTAGCAACGGGGTCCACGCCACGACGAACGAGTTCGCACAGTGCCTTAAAGCGGTCAATGCATTCATTCAGGGATCGACCGTTGACCTCATCCGCTATGCTTACCCACCGTTCCTTCTTATCCATGGATGCTGGATACTTCTTCAGCGCCAGATCAAGCTCCCGCTGCTGTGCTTCTGACCACTCATCGCTGCTTACGCCGTTGTCCTCGACACTTTGTTTGTTGTAGCCTGGCGAGTCCTGTTTTACTCTTGTGCCTGCTTGGCTGTCCTTCAATCCGGTACCACCTTCATTCAAAACAACTACACAAGCCCGCGGCATGCTTTCCAACTTCTCCTTCTGACTCTTCTGTTTCGTTTCAGCACTCTTTAGCTCATGAGAGAACTCACAAGTGTCTCCATCACGGCATCCCTTCTGTGCAAAAAACCTGCATCTACGCGTTCGAGTTTTTGTTGTTGTTGCAGGTGTTTCTGACACAGGTTTTGGCAACTCATCCGACAAGGCCTGACTAACGTCCCCGACGACCGACACTCCAACAGTGTCAAGACCTTCACCCACCTGTTTTAGCCGTTTCTTGTGTGAGAAATTGCACCTTTCGCCCTCTCTGCAATTGCCTCTTGCAAAAAAGCGACAGGCTCGCGGATGTCGCGTTCCTTTCACTTTCTTCTCACTCGACACTAGCTCCTTCACTTCAACCACCAATGTCTCCAGCTCACGGCTCGAATCATCAGCTACTGCCGGTACTTCCACTCCCTCTTCCTCCTCAAATGGCGCAATGATCTGCCAAAAGCGATTGTCCATCCACGTCAGCAGCTTCCGCATCGAGAAGCCACCGCACAGCTCCGTAGCCCGAGCGTTCATCGCTGCATTCAACGCATCCACTTGATCTCCCGATAGTCGACTACTCCACTGCGAAAAATCCACTCGAACTGCTTCCATTGGGTAGTTCTCAGGTACCGTCATCAGCAGTTCCACTTGACCCTTCAGTCGCGTTGGCAGCTCTGGCGCTGACAGACTGAGGAAGAGACGCACGCCGCGTGTTCCACCCGTCGTCCCTGCTGCAGCGTCCTCTTCGGCCAGCTGCAAGTGGTAGCGACGTTCCAGTGCCATCCACTCCTGCTTGGCAGCGTCCGTCTTGCTCGCAAGCGCTTCTTGCCAGCTCTGGTCAGTCATGAGCCAATTCACGAATGGGAGACGAGTAGCGCACGCGAGCAGCTACGAATGAATCAATTTGATTGGCCGAAAAGATATCGGTCGTTCTGTTCAGACGGAACGGTCCGGGAACTGTCGATCTAGGGTTTCTAAAAACGACTAGAAAACAGACGAACGTGTATACCGTATACGACATCTCGAACTATGTGGAACGTGCGTCTGCGAGGGCCTCGAGGGAAGCAGATGGTGCTGACGATCGACCCAAGTGCGCGTTTCAAGACGTTCGCAGGTACGTGGTATACAGTATACACCTCTAACTGGTTATGAGCGTACGTGCATCCCTCTTTATCGCACTTATCGGACCTGTGTATACTTTTCAGATCTCGCTGCCAATGATTTGGGGCTGAAAGCTACGGACCAACTGACGTGTACGTGCGTTGGGTTACTGGCGCTTGAATGGGTTCATTTCGAGCTCAGTTGGTGTGTGATTTGTGTGTGTGTGCTTTGTGCTTTGTGCAGTCCGAAGGGGATTTCCACCTCGAGTTATTGACGTGGACGGCTCAGCGCTTGTGAAGGACGTCGTGGTGAACAACGATACGATTGTAGTGGACACGAGCTCTACTGCAGTGGCCGCTGGACGAGGTGTTTCTGTACCGGTAACGACGAAAACGAAGCGAGTGGATGCAAAGAAGAAAGTTGCAGGAAAAGCACCGACGGGTGGCGCACAGACGCTCAAGCGGCCGGTGAGTGGAACGAAAAAGACGCCTTCGAGGTGGAAAGTCGCAGGTACGGGGCACCAACTTGGGACGTCGTTGGACGATGAATCATCTGCTACTGTGGAGACGGAACGAGACGATGAACGGGACGACGAGCGACAACGGACATACCGGCGCATTCGAGCGATTAATCTCACTTCGAAAGAGGACGTGGAGACGAGTCTAGTTAATGCTGTGAGTGGCCAGTCCAACGATCGGAAAGCAAAGTTCTTTCGTGCTGCCACGAAGAATGCGGTGGAGCATCAGTATGAACTGACGCTAGCTACTGCGAGGCTGAACGCAGCGTTGGGTCACAATTTTGAAATCGAAGAGCTGGCAACAAGTCGACGTGCCGATGGCAGCGCGGCTACATTGCGTGTGCGTTTCAAGGAGACAGCACGCAAGTGGAAGAAAGAGACTGTGGATCTGCTTCAGAAGGACGAACTGCAGGCAATTGTGAAGTATGTGTTGCTATCGGGCGGTGAGACTGGGCGTGAGATGCTGAAGCCGTTTAACATGGCACAAGTATCCACCAGGGTTTTTTGGAGCATTGCACGTTTGTATGATGGAGACGTGGCTGTTGGCTTAGCTGACCTTGTGCCGGATGAAGACTGGTCATTTTTAGACATTCGTACACGGTACGTTATGCTGTGCTATTGCTTACGGCGTGGTTGAGTTTAATCGTGCGATGGCTCTTGATAGACTGATGTCCGCGAAGGCTATGGAAGCAAAAGTACGAAGTGCCGATCATGTATTTGCTGCTATGCGTTAGATACACGGACGAATGACCCTGTGCTGTGTGTGTACTCTTGGCTGCTCTCATCCAGGCGAACGAAGAGTACTATACCTCGTGGAAGCAAAGCCGTGCCAAGGAAAATGGATCGACTTCTCAGCAGCCGGAGAGAAAGCAGGGAACAAAAAGAAGCAGACCTGGTTTAGCTGATGAGCAGAAGTCAGAAGTGGGCAAAATCGACCCGGATGTTGACAAGGAGGTCAAGCGAGAGGCTGCGGAATCGAAGTGTGCTCAGACAATCTCAGCTCTCTCGGAGAAGGAAGCAACTCCTGGCACTCTGCGGAGTGCAGCAGCACAAGCAGCGCTATCTCGATATGATCGAAGCTCGCAGACAAGCGCCGCTGTAGCTGCGTTTCTCAACGAGGAGGGCCCCACTGAAGAATGCTCGAGGAAGCAAGTTGTGGCCGAGGACGGAAAGGAAATGGTGTCTGAGGACGAGGTGGAAGAAGCTATCACGGTGTACTGTGACTCTTGTCGAAAAGCGCGCATTCTTTCTCCTGGCGAGGCAGGCAAGGTAAAGCTTGACAACGATCCTTGGAGCTGCTCCTATTTAGCAAAGATCGGACGTCGTGGCGGATGTGACGAGGTCGACGATGAAGTAGCTCAACTCACCGGCGCTTCGATTGCAACATGGCTCCAAAAGGTGGCTGTCACAACCCGGCAAGAGTTAGCAGACACCTCTGTGGATAGCGCTATGCATTCTCTCGTGAATCCGTCCGACCCGTCAGCTCAGGTAGTGCGGGAAAAGCTCGAAAAGCTGATCGACGAGGTGAGAGAACATCGCGTGTTCGATGTGCTTTGATCGTGAAATTTGACCTGGGGTTGTGCATGTGCACGTTTGTTAGGCGCGTCTCGACGAGATCAATGACTGGATGGCGGAACTTGTCGGCGGAACGGATTTGGTGCAACGTCTCGAGACCCAAAAGCTCGGCACCCCGGCCGATCTTGTTGCAACACCGAGTGACTTAGTCCTTGAAGCTGCTAGCAACACACATACAATCAACATGTCAATCGATATAGTCAGCTCCTGGCAAACGCGGGCTCAGAAGTTGGTGGACGAGCACCCGTGGCTGGCAGACTGGCGGACGTTGTAGAATGTGAGGTCGCGAGTTCTCAAGATCAAAATGAGCTTTATTTTCGAGTTCATTTCTGTCTTCTTCGACACGCCACAGGAGGGAGATGAGCAGCAGTGCGTGGACTCAATTTGACGAACTTACTGTAGCGCAACTCGTCCGCTCCTCGTATCACTTCATGTTCCGGCAAACTAAAGCCACATCTTCGTTCTTCGGCTCCATCGTCCCCTCCCACTCCACGTCTTAACTTCACCAAGTGTGAATTGCTAACTTGCTCACCACTCACTTAGTCAATCTTAATCGAGCTGTAGATCTTGCGCGTAAACCAGAGACAAGCAAAGTAGCCGATCGTTCCCGTAAGGAAGAAGAACGTCACTGAAATCAGGAACATATAGCCGAAGTACAAAATACCGGAAACGAACGCCGTAATGTTCAGCTTCGTGAAGAAGTAGAGGAACGAGTACAGGAACAAATACACGGCCGCAGACCCCGAAGTAAGGAACGAGCGCCACCACCAGCGATAGTCCTCGGCGCATAGCTGGAAGTAACACATCACGACCGTCACCTCTGCGCATGTTGCTACCAGGATCAGCAGCACAATAAACAGAAAGCCGAAGACGTAGTAAATCTGGTGCAACCATAGCGCCGACATGATGAAGAACAGCTCAATGAACACGGCGCCGAACGGCAAGATACCGCCCACCAGGATACTGAAAGGAGAGGACAAATACCACACTTGCTCCGGGATCTGGCGGGCAATCTGATTCGTACGCACAGGATGCTCAATTGCAGCAGCCTTGAAGCCAAAGTAGCTGCCGAGGAACACGAGCGGCACCGAAATGCCAAACCACAAGACCAACAGAGCGAACAGCGTTCCAAAAGGAACTGCCTGCGATGATGCCTTGCCCCACAGCACCAAGTTTAGCAAGAAGAATACGGTGAAGAGCAGGCCCGGGTACATCACAGCCGTAAGAATGGTGTTTGTCTTCCAGTCCTTGCCGCTGAACATCTTGTACGTACGTGACGAGTAGTAGCCAGCAAAGCTACCCATGAATACAAAAAGCAACAGCAGCGTCGTCAGCAGCGAACCGCGATTAGCCGGGGACAGTAGACCCAGCAGCGCGACAACCATCGTGGAAGCACTCATGCAGCACACCTGCACCCCCGTTCCAACAACCACGGAAAATAGCATCGGCGAAAGCTGTGGCGGACGAAACACATCGCCGTGTACAAGCTTCCACCCTGACTCTTCCTGTGCTTCCTCAGTGGTTTGCACCTCATTATAGCGAGAAATGTCACGATGAAGCGTGCGCAACATGATCATAGCAATCATGCCAGTCAAAAACAGCACAATCATGAGCGAGTTAATGATGGAAAACCAGTGGATCTGGTCGTTCGAGCTCTTGCTGCTAATAATGCGGTCCCAGCGCTCTTCCCAGACAATGTCCGACTTGACAAACTGCACGTCGTACGTGTAGAGCACCGTCGTCTCTCCATCTGGACTCAAGTATTGGTAATTGCCCTGCGACACTTCTTCGATATTGACAAACTTGCCACACGTGTCCGAGTCGAGTTCCTGTCCCGGCATGGGTTCATTCTCGTATCGATGTTTAATGGACGTTGGCACGACTTCAAAGCCCACGACGCGCCACTTGGGGGCATCGCCGTTCTCTTCCGCGTACGGATCGGCATTGACCGAGATAATGATCCGGACGTGGTTGTACAGCAAGTAGTTGCCGTCTTCATCCACTTCTCCAACCGGGAAGCCGCGCTTGAGCGAGCCAGCTTGCTGCGTGTCCGTTGGATCCCGGTAGAGCACCGGGAGGTTGTCCACGACCCACTGCACGTAGTACTCGTCCTTGATCATGTCAATAAAGAGCTGCGACTGCGCGGCCGTGTACGTCATGGGCTTGCACAGCACTTGACAGAGGGCGTCCTTCTCCATGTGCATCTGATAGAGCGACTCCATGATCGCGTCGCCGGCCATGATCTCGCCGAGATTCTCCTGCTCTTCGTGGATCCTCGAGGGCTGACAGAAGGGGAGGTAGTAGTACTCGTAGGGCACCAGCGTCTTGGTGGACGTGATCTTGTTCACGTTGAGCCGCACCGTCTCGCCCAGCGCCCAGGATTCGGGCGCAACGCCTGGGACGTAGAACGCCGCGTGTGCGTGGGGGAGAGCCACGAACGCGGCGAGGGTTATGGATGCGAGACGCTTCATGTTTGGGGGAGGAGAGAGGGGGAGGGAGCTGCTTGAGGATGGTGCCTTCAGTCAGTCAGTCAGTTAGTCAGTTAGTCCGTCCGTGAGTCCGTCAGTTAATCTACCGATGCGTCAGTCAGCCCGGGGTGGTGGTTTGCGGTTTGTGGCCGCCACGAAGCCGATTGGTTTTAGAAAGGTATAACCTGAGAGAAACGGTGGAGAAAGGGGATAGAAATGCCTGTAGGACTTGATGTGGACAAGGGAGGGGATTGGTTGTGTGGTGTGGAGTACCTTAATGAAGGTGTGGTGTGGTCGCTTTTTTGTGTAGAGACACTCGCGATAACTTGCTGTTTCGAAACTATCGACTCGCATACTTGAAATTGCTGCAAACTATACACGACAACATACGACGCGTTCCTGTCTTTTGCATCCTCTTGTAGCAGTGGCATGCTAACAACTTGTTATCTAAGACGTTAGTGATCACGGAATCCGTGAAGCCACTTGCAAAAGAAGTCTATCGTACGCCGTCTAGCCATTGTCAATCATTCAATACGAAAGAATACGTCTTGACGTACGTCGTGCCCGACTTGAATCAGTCGCAGATCCGATCGCTGACAGTGTTGCAGTGACTTTCCCGCGATTTGTACCACATTTCGCAAGGCAGAACGTGACTGCCATTGTATGGCTGGACAGACCATCGGTAGCATCTGCAACAGCGCATGCGAAATAGTTGAGACCCATAACCAATGCAAGTAATTTGGACTTGCACAAGAATGGTATCTACAGATGAGTTCGCTGTTCCTGTCCACGACACTCTACCTCAGCATGTGCTCCTAATCATGAATGCGCTAATAAGCTGAAAGATGTCCATCAGAAACATCAGGGCATCAAAAACCTCTTACTTAGACTAAGTGAATCATCTGCAAGACACATGCCTCCCTCCTCGAGCGCCCCGCTGCGCCTCCCTAAGTCCAATATTCCCATTACTACTGTCATTTTTGACGTTTCAACGCCACAAATATTTGTCTTTGCTCAAGTCGCAGGAAGTGCTAATGGCTCATGGCTCCGAGTCGGTCGTGTCCGAAGCGCTGCGCCAACTGTACAACCCGCTGAGCTCACCCCGCACGCGAGAACGTGCCGATACGCTACTGCAGCAGGTCCAGCGCTCGCCCAGTGCTGCGCAGGCCGCGTTGGCCGTGCTGCAAGCGCCACTCGTTGACACGGAAGATGTCGAGCACAATGCGTTTGTGCGTATCAGACGCGCGTTCTCAGCGTCCACGATGTACGGGACAGTGGCCTCTTTCAGTACGGACAATGCAGGCGACTGGACGTCGGTGGATCAAGACGCACCTCAGCACGAGAGAGACGATAAGCACTTCAAAGTGATGGCGCTTGATGTCTGGAATGTGCTGACTGGGCTCAATGGGACCAAGGAGGAGTTGCAGGTTCAGACGCATCTGGCCCTCACGGTTGCCGTCCTTTTGTTGCGGATCCTTGAGCCTCAAGGGGACAATATAATGGCTCGTGCAGTGGAATCGCTGGTTGAAAACCAACAGTATCCAGTCTGTGATGGTGTCACGACTGCGCTGACAAACTTTGCGGTGTTGCTGACACTAAAAGTTCTTCCGGAAGAAGTGAAAAATAAACGCGTCCACTTTACCTCAGCTAAGCGTGGACAGTGCAACGACATGGTGACGGAGTGCGCCCCGCACGTGGTTCAAACGATTCTTCCATCCATTGCGGCTGCTATTGATGCAAGTGGAGAGCAAGAACAATTGCGCGGTCTGTTGCTACAAACTGTGGCAAGCTGGATGGACCATGGCACTGTGGTCCCAGCAGTGCTCATTGAAAATGGTTTGCTCGACCGCTCGTTTCGTGAAACACTCGTGCCAGCTACTTCAGTATACGCCTTTCAGGTTGTACGAGAAGTAGTGTACGCGTGTCGTCACGGAGAACACGTAGAGCTGATGGAGATTGTGATGCGCAAATTTGTAGAGCTTGGAAAGCATATTCAAGAGCGTATCGCGGGATCCGAAAATAGCGTGGCTTTTTGCCTTGTCGACAGCGCAAGAGCAATGTCAGAATGCGGACAAGCCTTCATCATGTATTTTGTGGACTGCACCCAGGATGTGCAATCTGGGTCTTTGGTGTATGAATTTCTCGACACGATTCTGGTTTTCACGTCTTCAAATAATCTTGACGTCTCTAATGAGACGATCGATTTCTGGATTCATTTTCGCACGTATGTATCGGGCAAGCACGAACAGCACATGTGCATATTTGAGCCGTTCATTTCACGCTTGTTGACCATTCTGATTGAGCGGACCCAGTATCCCGAGGGGTTTAAGTATTTCTCGGAAGCTGACAAAGAGCGCTATCATTTGTACCGAAGCGAAGTGCGCAACGTTTTTCGCGCACTCGCCACGGTCACAGTTGCCAGCGAAGACGAGTTTATTGTTGATGCTATTCACGCGATCTTCCGACAGTACGAAGCTGCTGACTCGAGTAAACTTTTACCATCAAATGTACGTACAATCTGCGCGACCAGTAGAGTAGATGTCTGTGGTATTGACAACGCACTTTATCACGACTGGTTATCTTGGGTGACATGTAGTGGTGGCAGCGCACCGAAGTATACGTGCACGCGCTTAGCGCACTCTCAAAGTCGATTCGCGAGGAAGACACGTCGCTCGTTCCAAGGCTGTTTGAATGCTTGTCGCGAAAGGAGCCGTCTCACTACGCACTCGTACGCACCATCACCATATTTCTTGGTGTGACGAGCCACTGGTTTGCTCGACACCCTGAGTACCTGTCGACATTCGCGTTTCAGATCATCTCCAATAGCTTCGAGCTTACTGAGAATGATGTCGAATTTCCGACTAGTCAGCGTGACACAGAAGATCACGTTGGGGCTGTGGCGCTGTGTAAACTGACGCTTCGATGTGGTTCACACTTTTTCAATCCGCTGTGGATCGACGCACTGGTGCACCTGTACCGCTCAAACTTGGCGGCATTAGGCGGGTTGACGTGTGAACGGTTGATGGGCAATAGCGCAAGACTTGTCGTGGACTCAATCTGCAATATCCTCGCCACAGTATCATATGAGAATGCCCTCCCTGTAGTGGACGAACTCAGTGCTATCATGTTCGCCGACCTTGCAGCGCGTTACAGTCAGCTAACTGTGGTCCCAGTAGATTTCTTGTGTGAGATATTTGACCACCTGCTCGTGCTAGCCACCAGGGTCCCGATGCAGGTAGACCGAGAGACTTCACATCCTGTTCTCTGTGTGCTGCAAAAACAATGGGGAGTTTTGGAGACCATTGTGTGCGTACACGGCTGCTGTGAAAAAGTGACTGAGCGATTCTGTGCACTTCTCGTCGGTGTCTTCGAGTCTTTACGATCCCAAGCGCTGGAGCTAGCATCTGCAATCATGCCAGCGTTGGTGGAACAATTATCACGGAGTCATGATGGCAGTTATCTTGGTGTGATACGAAGCATCTTTGGTTGCGCTGGGAATGACGAGGCTACAGCGGTAAGCCTGACACGCGTGATGATCATAACGAGTGAGAGCTCTATGAACAAGATTGCGGCAGACGGCAGTGTTGATAAAAACCCTGGACTCACTATAGCGCTGTTGTCGTTAGTGGCGACTTGCGCCACATACCACCCGTTGATCCTGGTCCAGTCGAATCAGCTGGAGGGTGCGCTGGCACTGGCTTTACATGCACTCAAGTCGCTAAATCCTGAAGTCGAAGCGGCAGCTCTCAACTTTCTACTCGAGTTGGGCTCGTTGTACGGCCAGATCCGTCGTACTCCAGACCACCTGCTTCAGGGTTCTGAGTTCACAGGCAAGATGCTTCTTCACCAGCACATCCAGACACTGTTGTTTGATAAAGATGTTCAGTACCACGTACTCATAGCTCTGTTTGTTGCCGGGGCTCGGGGTACGCCGCCCAACTCGGTTGGAAAGATAGCGGAGGTTGTTCAGTCTTGCTGGGTCCATTTCGGACGACTACGAGCTGAAGCGCTTATCCATCGCCTTCTATTCGACACGAATTTTGCAGGATCGCGAGTTAGTGAGCGCGCTCGAACCGATTTCCTCGACCTCGTATCCACTCCTGCATGCATCGAAGACTCGCGTAAATTCAAGCGCGTACTGAAGACATTCTGCGACCACCTCAGGCGCAAGCTTATTACTCATAGTGCGAACAGAAATGTGATCGCTTCGTAAAAAGACGCTGCACTGAACTGCTCAGCTGTTAATACTGCACCGAGTCGAGCTGAACATGCGATTATCAGTCCCTTAGGCTTCGATGCAGCACGACGTCACGTCATCTCAAGACTTGTTCTAGCAGCCTATGTTTCTACAAAAACGGGTTGCCCACGTCCGTCCAAGCCGTCGTATTCTTCTCCGTGACACAAGTGACCAAGTGTCCGCTGGGAGGACGCGCATCATGGGAAGCAGTCGACCATTCGTAGATCTTTTGCGCGATATCCTCCACCTGGTGTTTCCATCCCGTGCGCACGTAAGGTCCACAGTCGTATAAGCGATCAGTGACATTCTACATTGTTTCGTCCCGACCCCGTACCTTGGTCCAGCTGGAATAGTCAGCGTCGGCCATAAACTGACGGTTCATTGGCGTATCGATTGTCGTCGGCAGGACACCCAGTACTGACGCATTCTCAGGCAGCTCCGTCCTGTCACAAGCATCCCACGTTACACAATAACAGCACGATCAAAGCACACACGTGTGAACGAACGTGTGTACTCATTGAACCTGGAGCATCCAACAGACTCACACGGCACTAGCGACCAAATGATGCGTCGCCACTTTGCTCGCTCCGTACGATACCATGCCAGGTGTCGCCTTGAGTGCTGCAGTGGCCCCAGTCAGAACGAGTAAGCCTCCAGGCACGAGCAAGTGACTTGCCAAGTACGTCGCTATGAAAGAAGGAGACGAGAAGAAAGACAGAAGCCATCGTCATTGAGCGTTGCAACCAGAACCAAGATAGGCATTAAGGTCTCTCTCGCCGAGCACAGTTCATCATCTCACCTAAGAAAGCCGACTCGAGATTCTTGGCAGTCATGTCCGATAGATTGGCCAGCGAGCTTGCATCACGGATGCTGCCTCCTGCCCAGCCTCCTGCCGTACACACGACAGAGTTCACATTGCCATATCTGTGTACCCACACCAAGTCAGCACAATCTCAAGCAATGTATACATCGTCCCTGTGTAACCTGCTGAATATAACAATACAATAACACAATCCAATGCAATACAACACAATTATACAATACCTGCTGGAGATCTCCTGCAGCGTCTGCTTTGCCTCCTTGAGCACGTTTTGCTTTGGTAGGAGCTCGCTATGTTCCGCCTCTTCGTTCGCTGCAAAGCCTACTGAAGTGACGCCCCATGACGCACAGGCAAAGCGGTGAACGACGCCACGACCAAGGGCGCCAGCACCCCCAATAACGAGTACCTTGCTGGACATGATGCAGCAAATTGGACAGTCACTATCGAGAGACTTTTCCTCTCGACAGTGACATCTGATAATTGATTCGTGACACGACAGGAGCAATGATGACAATCGACTAGATATTTTACAATTTTACTGTAATATTTGAAGACGCGCTAACGGATTCCTAATAGTTGACACCTAACGAGCGAATCTCTCTGTTCAATCTCCTCTGCCTGTCTGCTTGTGCTGTGTGTGTGCGATCATCAGTCTAGGCAAACTTCTCTGAGTGAAAGTCGAAAACCGTGCCGTTCACACCCGAAGATGAAAACCGTTTGCAAGTGTTGTCCAAGATCTCCTCGAGCATGTGCGGACCGCAGTAGAACACACCGACTTCCTCGCCTGGATGATTGGCTCGAGCCTGGGCAAACACCTTGTCCCAGTCGGGGCGGCCAAAGTGCGTGAGCTGCTTCGTGCTCAGTCCTGACACAAAGTCCCTGCCAGTCTGTTTGTGCACAAACTCCTGAAACATCTTCAGCTGCGACGTATTCTCGCTGCCCTTCAATGTGCTCAAGTACTGGTGAGTCTCAATCACGTTGTCCTTGTCCATCTCCGAGATCTGGTTCATCGTCTCTTCAAACCAGCTCAGAGACTCCTGGCCACGAGTTACCCAGTGGAAATACAGCTTCTGGATCTTGAACAAGCCCGGGTGTCGGACGTGGCTGCAGTTCCGACAGCGATTGTCTTCCCACAAGTGCACTACGTCTTTCAAGATGGAAGCGAACGGGGTGACACCAATGCCACCACCAACACAAATGACGGTCTTGTAGCGGTGATAATCCTGAGTCGGAGCACCCACCGGCCCATCCAAATAAATGTCCGGGTACACCGCCTTCCGTTCGTGACAACCCGAGATGACGCGTGACAAAGCTTGTGTCCAGTCACCACAAGCACGGATGTGGACGCTGATGTAGTTGTCCCCGGGGGCCGACGAAATAGTGAACGGGTGCCACTCATGCGGAGAGATCAGTGGGCAATTGACGAACATGTACATGCCAGGACGATACTCGAAACGGCGGGGCTTCTCCATGAACAAAGCAACGGTGCCATCCAGCTCCATGGCTTCTATGATACGCACTGGCGCAGCAAACAATTTGGCGTAGCGGAAACGACGCTCGACCAGGTAGATCAGAAACGGAGGAGTGATCCACATGTACGAAGAGCTGCGAGCGAGCCATGATGCAGCGCCATGGACCGCCAGTACGACCAAGAAGGGTCCAAAGAGCATGTGTGAATACCAAAAAAGGTTGAAGTTGCCCTGACGGAACTTGGGAATCGCGGCCAATGGAAACGAAATGCAAGTGATCAGGAGCAGGATCACGCCCGTCCATATTGGAAGCGACTGAATCATCATAGTGAACGGGGGAAGCTTGCCGTCAATGAATACGTGACGCGTAGCGAAGATCGAGTGTGCCACTTCTTCCGGCGTCGCAACTACAAACAGGTTGACCTCATTAAACACGTGGGCGACCGTGTGAATGAGGCCGGCAATCAGCAGCACAGAACCCGCAATCTTGTGAAATGCGATACTGTCGTCGAACGGGATGTAGCGCCACAGAAACCGACTTCGCTTCATGACTTGTGTGATGGAACGGCACATGGGGAGCAGAACGAACACACAGTTCAGCATGGCAACCTGGGCGTTGGCACGTGCAATGCGCAAGCCCCACCCGATGGCAGGATCCACTCCACACGAGAACCACTTGATCCAGAAAGCGAAGTTGTTCAGGAGAATGTACACAAAGAGCCACCACATCCGGAGTTTGTTGGCGCAATACCAGGCGCCCAACTTGCTTTTCGGAGCTAGAGGAGCCGTGTACTTGGTTTCCGACTTGCGGAGATTGTAGGAATCGTTAATGTAAGGCGCAAACACGCTGCAGAACTGCTCAAATGTCATGGCCTCGTCTTTGACTTGAGCTTTGCTGAACATGAGCTTCGCCACCGACTTAAAGTCCGTGCCAACCACGTTCAAACGGGCTTCCGAGAAATTCGACTCCAGTAGCTGAACAATCTGGTCCTCGACCACATAGCCGGTGTTTTCCGGATCAAGCGTCTCAAACATAAATCGCAGCTTCTCTTCAGCGCCAACTTCGAGTTCCATGACAGCGTCAATGAGAATAGCAGTGCCATTAATCGTGCCGTCATTTGTAGCGTAGCCATCATACTCGCTCTCATCGACTTCAAATGCCTTGGAGAAAGTCTTGCGCTTAATACAGCCGTCTTTCGACGTGAGGCTGCTCATCACATCGCGTAGTGCGTACAACTTCTCCATGGGCGTGTACATGGGATCGTTCTTGTCATTGACGCCGCAGTTGTTCATACTGATAGCCACATTGTACTTCTGCTCAAAAGTGCAGTTGCCAAGTACCGGCACCGACCCGATGTCACTCCCTGGCTGCGGTCCGTAGCAAGGGCCACCCATTGACGATAGCATCGACGACATGCTGGATCCTCGAGCGAGACTCTGGCGCACCGTCGACGATCGGAGCATGGCCTGGACGTCTACGCGACGTCGTCGGTTGCCTGGACTGTTCCTGCAATTGGCACTCAGTCGAGCTGGGCCACGTCCAATTAGGTGAGTAGTAGTCGAGTCCATGGTCATGAATTGATTGCTGTCCGTGAAGTTGGACGTCCTAGATAGGGGAGGGGGAGGGGGCGACACCGACGGCGCTGCCATTGCGTAGGCAAGTGCCGAGCCAGTAGTTGACTCCGGCGTGATTGTACACGCTGTCAACGGCTTGTGGTGACCGGAAGGGAGCGACGGCGTCGAGATATCGACAAACGGCTGCGCGTTATGACCAGGCGTGAGCTTGAGGTCGTCAGCTTGTCGACGCTGTCGGCCTGTAGATTGGCGCTGCCCTTGGTCCGCATGGTCCCGGCTCATGGTTCGTCCACGCACCACGTGGGACTCGGGAGGATGGCGGGAAAGAAAGCAAAGTGTGCTCGCTTTACGGACGTCTTTGGTCCGAAAACCGCTCACTGGTCTCTCGGAGTTTAGCCGCACGATTTTCAGACTCAGCCGCGTCGTCAGTGGCGTTCGATTCCTTCCTTCGCAAGTCATTCGAACCAACCCGCTGGAAACCGCTTCCAGCTGGCATTACTGCCGCTTGTCGCGTTTCCAGCTGGTTCGGGCGAAACCTGATCCCGGGATCCACCAAGATGTTGACGCGAATGAATCGATTGCTGCTGGACTTGGGGCTTGAGAATTTTTTTGCAAACAACTGGATAGTTGTATGCAGGACTGGATTCAAAAGGGGAAAAGATGCCGAGCGGATGATCATCGATCTCTTGGAGTTTGTCGTCGAAACTGACTCTACTTCGTAAAGCCTGTTTCTGGACTGGAGCTTGTCTTTTCACCGGTACTGCCGGGACGTTGTGGCGCAAGAGTCCGGGCAGTCTGCCTGGGATACGAGATGCAGCACATGGCCGAGCCACTTTGTCTACTGTGGATAAAGCAGTGCGACTGATGGTCATGAGGGAGCGGCCGGCCGATCAGAATTCTGGTCGTTAATGGGAGGTGCGTGTCAGTTTCTCACGCGAATAGCGGTGCATGACAAAAACGGTGAGAGGTCGCCCGATTGCTGCAGGCGACGGTAAGCTCGACACTAAAGTCAGGGGACAAGGAGTTTGCGGCATTGCGAAGCAAGTCTGTTTCTTGATATCCATCGAGTGGCCAGCTCGACTGACCATAGCGCCGTCCCGACATTCGGTCTCTTGATCGATTTGTGGTATATCACGTTTCCATCATCCCCTGTCAGTAGCAGCTTGTGCATGCGAAAAACATGCAGCGCTATTGTTGACGGTAGCGCGTGTCGTTGTCGCACGACGCCTACCCTCAACAGGTGCGAAAGCACGCACGCTAAAACGATGGTTTCAACATTGGGTACGAACGGCAACAGCTTACCAAGCTCTGTCTCGTCATTGATCTATTCAGGGCGCACGAGCTGAAGCACGTCAGCGTGCGTTTTACTACACCACTGTTGCCATTCATTTACCCAGGACACCATCCGAATCGAAGCGAACGACTCGAGAGCGCAAGATGAAATTCGAGACTTAGTTTGGACCAACATCGGTGTCCACTATTTGCTCGGCACAAGGAGGTTTGCTAGTGGTCATCTTAGTACGACCGGGTTTGAGGTCGCAATCGCTACATTTGTACGTCCATTTGGACCGTTTGTCACGCTGACAGCACCGTCGTCGTCAATACGTTGACTTCACTGATCACGCAAGTCGGTTACACCGCAAGGGTGCACCCATTCGCTGCAGTATTGTTGGGAGGTCGACGTAAGTTGTCGAGACAGTAAGCCAAGCGACCTTGACTCTGCTTGACTAAACTGTACGATCGCAAGCCGGTGTGAGAATGAGCTCAAGGTGTCATGTGGACTAGCTCAGAATGGTTTGGCATAAGCGGTGTTGTGTCGTGTGACCCACACATAAAGAAATACGGGAAACTGATAGGCGTATTATTGAACTCAATACGCCAAGCGGTAATATCGTACCTTATCGATTACAGTTCGATAGTATTTAGGAAGCTATTTGTCTCCCCTAAGTAGTGCCCCCTCAGTTTGATATAAAGCTACATGATTGGCTGATTATGAGTCACGAACAGAGGGAACGACATCACATCTGCTAGATTTAAAAAGTCATTTTTGTAGTAATCGCATACAACGGAACCTTTTTTGCGCTCAAATGTCGTGTGGTGGACGTCATTGTCGGCGTTCCAGTCAAAGTAAGCGATATCGGTATCGGAGCACTCTTTGTTTGGGGTGCCGCGAAACTTCACGTACACTAGTACGTGAGAGGAAGCTAACTTACTCAAACAGCTCGTTTAAGTAAAAGGTTAAAAAAAGAACTGTATTTAATATCGTTAAGCTATCAATATAACTTTAATCTTTATCTAACTGTATTAAACTACGTCGTCGTATGACGACAACCTGCTCACCACTCATTGCGCGCGCCCAGCAGCAATTGGTGGCAATCTATGGTTGACATGTCTTTTATCAACCAGTCTTGGAGCAGCGCGTACATACTATCCTAAAAGTGGGTAATATTCCTTCAATATTATCCATCTCGGATAATACTGGCAGGAGATTGTCATGCCAGACAATCTCTCTATTGACACCGTTTGGTGTCAATCTCATGTAATGGGCTACCCCGGTACATCACCCCTCTTAACCATCAATTACTCGTTGATTGATATAAATTGATTGAGACAGGGTGACCACCGTTGAATCACTCTGGGATAGGGAGGACTTGTTGGTCAAATTCCCATTCATTTGCCAATTTAACGCATGGTTTCAAAGTCCATGCGATGTGCTGTCGAAGCAGCAAGAAGGGCGGCTGCACGCATGCTTGCGGCCGTGAGAGTACCTTTCACACCTCAGCAGCAGGTGATTCGTCGCCTGCTGCTATGAATCCTCCACGTGGTGAGTCACCACGTGCGACAGGTACATCCGTTGCGTCTGCAGCGGGTATCTCGAGTCGTAATCAAGACGAGTCTGAGATAGAGCTCATCTATTCTGGCGAGCCAGATGCATCATCCGACTCGAAGGCGACTCCTCACGACTCGGGATCATCCGGGGCCGACACTGCAAGAGCCAGGTTGACTGGCTCTGGGGGAGGTGCGGCATCATGTCCGAGATCTTCGGACCGAGCGATTCTTCCGATGTATCCTCGCCTCGTGCAAGTCTATCCGACGATAGGACGCGTGGTGATGGTGTTGATGTCCCTATGCATCACCTCGAGAGAAGCAACTCGAGAGATCGAGCTGCCACTGGTGTCAGTGCTCGTGCTGACACCAATCAAGAGGCCAGGGACCGAAATGTCCTGCGTTACGCTCCCCAAGTGGAGTCTCCGTGGATGTCGCCATCCAGAGAGCTGGACCGATTGGCTGGCATGACCACCGAACGGGCCGAATCCCGTTGTTCGACTGTAGGAGGGTCTGCCCACCTGATTCCAGCACGGAAACTATCCGTGCTGAGGAAGAATTCTCCACCGATGCGTTTTTCAAACATCGGTGGTACAATGGCATCCGTGTTCGAGACGGTAAAGCCTTGGTGCAAGGATGGAATGCCCTCATCCATAACATCGAGTGCATTGGCCGTGAGGCCTGGCTCGATCAACTTGATGCAGCTCGCAGTAGGTTTGATAAGCGCAACCCAGTCGGGGCGCGATACAAGCTGCACTTGCTGTCAAGAGAGGCAGGATAACCCTGTCTCTCGTGGGGTGAATTGTGACCAGGTTGCCTGGAAAACTCGAACCGTGCCCCTAGGGAGGCCTACCTACCTGATGATCCCTACTGGAGGGCGCGCATCTCTTTCAAGATGGCCAAAGGGATTGACACTTGCAATCTCTGTACTCGCGTTCGGGGAGGCCGTTTTCCGACGGCCATTCTTCGAACGAAGCGGGTGTGTCTCGTCATAATGCTCGACGAGACCAAGGACATCAACAATCAGCTGGGCACGAGGCTCCTAGCTGTCCCACGCCAGCGGACGAGTTAACTCGTCCGGACGCCATTCACGTCGCGGTGGTTCAAGATAAGCTCCACCGGAAAGCGTTGACCACCGCCAGAATCCACCAAAGGATGTGGTGGCGGCGGGAACACCTGATCCGGCTCGAGGGTCGGATCAGCTTGATATTCAGGAACTGCACCGTGTAACGGAACAGTTACACGATGACCTGGCTCACGAACGGACTCGGCTTTATGGGCTTGAGGATGTTGTAAGGGATGAATACGATTCCTTAGCGCACGATCATTCGGACGATAGTGTCGCTTTTGCGTTCACGCAACTTGAGAACGAACGTTCGACTCTTTCTCTTCGTGACGAACTAACTGCAGCTCGTCAGGACATCGCGTAACTGCGTGAGCAGGTCGCTTCGCTAGTCGACCAGACTGGCTCGTTGAAACGGGACCACTCGAAGGTGGTCTCGACCGTGGAGTTGTTCTTCGCATCTTGAAACGGGCTCTTAATGGTAGTACGGGCGGATACGACCAATGTAAAACGTAGGATGCGTGCGCATCTTACGGGGCAGTTCAATCGTGTATGCGTTGCCCATTCTACGTAACACACTAAATGGACCGATGTAAACTGGGCAGTAATTTTCTGCTGCCAAGTTTGTCACTGCGTGTTTCGGTAAGTTTACGGTTAACAGTAAGACTAAATCTCCTTCATTTAATGAAAGAACACTTGCTCTTCCATGTTTATCTGCATATCTTTTCTGCTTATCTAACGTGTCCGGAAAAGATCTTGAACGAAGCGGACAACTGCTTCGCGAGTCAGCAGAAATTCTTCTGCTGATTCATCCTTTTCAACAGCAGTACGCTTCGTGTGCACTGCTGAAAGAACGTTGTCTTCACTAGTGTGGGCGTCATCGTCCTCACTGTGGCAGTCGTTGGCGATTCTGAATATACCAGCATCATCGTCATCATCTTTATCGGTGCCAATGTGATCGACATCGGCATCCATCACGTCGACACCATTGTCGACGGGTGATGAGCAAGAACCAGATCGGTTTTTGGTCGAGCGAGTCCACCACCCTCCTTAAACTAGAGTCACACTCTAAGAAGGCGGGTAAACGTGGATGGCATAGGCCATTCGCGAAGAACGGTGTATGCGTTGTCGACGCACACACCAAGTTGTTGATAGCGAATTCCACCATCGGCAAGAACTCACTCCAACTCGTAAACGTGTGGACATATCTTCGAAGTATCTCTTGAGGACGCAGTTAACGCGTTCCGTCTGATCATCGGTTTCTGGATGTCAGAAGTCGACATCGTCGAACGTGTTCCAAGTGAAAGGAACACGGAGTGCCAGAACTCCGCTGTGAAGCGGGGGTCTCTATCGGACACGAGATCACGGGGCAACCCATGAAGTCGAAAGATAGTATCGATGAAGACACGGTCACAGCCCTGGGCTGTGATTGACTCCGGTACAGCAACAAGATGTACCATCTTGCTGAACCGATCAACAAACACAAGAATACCAGTATTCTTGTGAACTTCTTTGGGAAACCCAAAGACGAAGTCCATCGATACGGACTGCCAACACTCTGCCGGAATCGATAGAGGCTGCAAGGGTGAGCGGGATGAAGGACTAGGCTTCATCCTTTGACAAAATTTGCAAGTGCGAATGTTTGCGCACACACTCATACTGGCGGGGCCAGTAGAAGTCACGACTCACCATGGGGTAAGTCTTTTCTCTACCGCGATGCCCACTTGTCGGGGCATCGTGACACTTATGCATGATGCGCAATCGCAAATCATTATGAGCCAGAACGACGACACGAGGTGTGTCGCCGTTGACTGCTGTATAGTACAGCAGTCCATCACGAACAGAATACCGTTCGGTTGAAGAGCGGTATTGAGACGACAAGCTTTTCAAAGCTTGATTACACGGATCGGATACGTAATCCATCAATCGCAGAAGATACTCATCTTTTGCGTATGATTATCGCACGTCGTCGAGCACATTCGACGACGGAACACTCACTGTGAGTGTCGCTACAGTGGGATCACCCCCACTGTTGTGTTGAGCAGTCGGCTCGAAATCGGGCCGACGTGAAAGAGCATCAGCGATGACATTAAGTCGTCCTGGTTTGTACTCGACGGAGAAGTACTCCGAGAAGAAGGACAGCCACCTCTTCATTCGTTGCGAGAGGTGTGGACTGTTTACAGCCGTTCGTAACGACGCATGGTCGGTATAAACGATGAAAGGCCTATCTCCTAAAGATATACCCGAAACTTAGTTAGTGCATATTTCATGGCAAGGTTTTCCTTGTCATGAACCGGATAAATACGCTCAGCTGCTTGCAGCTGACGTGATTGATAACAGACGACGCACTCAACGCCGTCTGAGTCGTACTGCATTAACACGTAGCTAATTTCAACATAGCTGGCGTCACAGAACAAATGGAATGGTCTGTCCTGGTCTGCAATCGCCAACACAGGCGATTGTATCAAGCTTTTCTTGATGCCTTCAAAAGAGTGCTGACACTCAGCGCTCCATGACTACCTCTCTTTTTTCTTTGACCGACGAGAGATATGTACGGTCATCTCGGCGTAATTGCGCGAGTACTTGTGCAAGTACGCCGCTAAGCCAAGGAGCTTTCGAAGTTCCTTGACGTCGACTGGAGCGGGCCAGTCGCCAATCGCCTAGATCGTTTCCAGATCAGGGCGCACACCGTTTTTAGCCACGATGCAGTCAAAAGAAGTGGTATTTCGTTCGCTGCGAATATACACTTCTTGAGGCTTGCAAACAGCTTATGCTCTCGCGTTAGTGTAAGAACCTTCCGGACGTGAATTCTATGGATCTCCACGTCCGTCTTTCCATCCATAGCCCGGCTGTGGACGAAAACATCGTCAAAGTAACTCGATGCGAAGTTTTGGACCGATCACAACAGATTCGTAACAAATCTGTTGAACGTTGCGGGGGCGTTACTTAGCCCCTGTGGCATTACTAGCCACTCCCAGAGCATACCACTAGGGGTGCTCACTACTATGTAAGGGATCTCCCGCTCACGCATGAGGATCTGATAGAATCCACCCATCAGATCCATGGACGAAAAAATGGTACTTTTTGCCATACCATCAATGATGACGTCCTTCCTTGGTATCGGCGTTTGAGCCGATACCGTTGCAGCGTTCAATTTGTTGAACGCGAGCACTATCCGCCACCCTCCTGCGGCCATTCGCACACAGAAGGTCGGAGAGCTGTGTGGGGATGTTGATGCCTTCACATGACCAGCATCTAAGCGATCGGCAAAGAGTTTGTCGATCTCTGTGACCCGTTCACGAGGCAATGGCCACTGATTCATGACACAGTATTTCGAACCGTGGTTCAGTTCGATCTCATGCCGAGTGCGTTTGTCCTTGGTCAGCTCGCATGGCACGGATTCAGGGAGATCATCCCTGAATTCAACCCAATCCTTATACAAAGGACTTGTCTTCAAATACTCACAAAATTGAGACGTGTATCGCTTAATCCGAGTCTTCTCATTGAGGACACTATCGTCCATCGATGAGCTACTGAGAACCCGTTCTCTTTTAGCAAACACTTGTGCCGACCGAATATCGGCGACGTACTCGTCCTCTGTGACGAGTACGCAGATCTGTTTGATCACGTCACTACGCAGATCTTGCAAGAATCTTTTAGATTCTAGCGTTGGCAACTTGACTACCTCCGAAGCTGACTTCGGGGGCGTAACCAGATCAAGTATATAACAGCCTTTCCTTTGATCCGTCATTAGCTTAGACATTCACTGTCTCGGTGATTTCCTGGGAAAAGACATTCGCAGGTGGTTGGGGATCCACAAACTTAACATAAATTTCTCGGGTGTTATCACTCTCAGGAACACTGGAACTTTCTTCCATTACGTGTACTGACTGTAGGTGTAATACCCGTCACGTCCTCTTCTATCGACTCTCTGAAACTCGATCGGGCTTGCTCTACGACCGACTCTGTGATTGTTGATCTCGCTTTAATGTGCTGTTCATCCTGAACAACACTCACCTCTCTTCTCGGATGCAACCTTCTTGGTGTGCATCCGTGTTCCAGTCCACTAGATCTCTTCTAGTAGTGAGCCTTCGGCGCAGCCTGTGTCTCTACACAGGCGCCGGAAGATGGTACCACAGTGTAGTGGCCTTCTACACTGTGATCTTGTGCAACCGTACTAACGATCGTACCACAAGTGAGGCCATCGCACTCACTCGTAGTACATCCACACGCTTTTGAACGCTCCAAGACGTTCATCAGATGGCCATCTGATGAACAAGCGGCAGGCATCTTCACGGATCGATTTTGCCAGCTAACCCATGGCTGGTGCTTTCAGAGCCATAACAGACCAAGGATGACGACAAACGTATCATCCCAATCCAGTACGATAAAGTCATCATCGTATTGCTTTCCTTCTAGCGTGTAGTGGATTCCCACTGCACGTTTGTTCACTGTTACGGATGCGCCTGTAGCAACGCATACCGTCATCCTCGTTGGAGGGAACTCACACGCAACATAGTTGAGTCGACTCTCCTTTAGCGACTGGCGTCGATTAAAACTTTTCGATGCCCCACAGCCAACTAGGTCGCGAAGTGACATTCCACTTGTCACTTCGATCTTCAAAGCAATAACAGACACCTCATCACCAGGGGCAGTAACACACAGCGACGGTGTGTGATAAGCAATCTTCGTCAAGAGTCCTGCAAATTCTGTTGACGTTGCTGAAACAGCAGGGTGCTCCGCCCCTACTGACCCTGTCCGTTTTTGGCAGTCCGACTTAATATCGCGGTTTAGGACATGGTCGGACCCGCGCCTTGGAACTTTACTCGGCCAAAAGCGGTCATCACGTTCTGTCTTTGGACGTGATACGGTGCTTGGGACAATACACTCACGGGCATAGTGCCCAATCTTCTGACAGCTATGGCATCTTGCCGTTCGCGTATGACCCAGAGAGCGAGAGTTATCGCTCTCGGTGTAACAGAGGTATATAGGTTCAAGATCTCTGGTTCGTTTCGTCTCGTCAGACGATAGTTTGAAAAGTTAGCCTGAGACTGTCACAGGCTGCAGTCTTCTTTCTCTGCATACGCTATCGCCCTTTCAAGCGTATGGGGGTCTTCTCGGAACATGTAGGTCTTCACCGGCCATCTAAAAGGCCGTAGATGAACACGTTGATGAGCGTGTGCTCATCAACACGGTTTTTCGTGACGCTACTCGCAAGGTAGCGTAGGTGTTGTGCGTAAGCGTGCACATCACGCTTACCTTGCTTTAGCCTCAAGAGTGCAGAGCGTGCTCTAAACTCGGCTCGTGGCGAATCAATGGTGTCTTTGAGCCGAGAATTCAAGATCCCTAACGACTCAAACACGTTTGGGTCGTAAAGCTTGAGCCCTAAGGTCCAAGTCTTTGCTCGTCCTGTCAAATTTGACAGGGCGAAGGTGACTTGCATCTCGTCACCCTCGATGTTACGGGCCCTGGTGGCGTCGTCGAACTCGACGAACCATCTCAAAAGTGAATCTTCATCGGTTCCCTTGTACCTTGAGATATCAATCTTCAAGTTTTCGGGTCGACGCATGTTCTTCGGCCCTCCCATCGACTGATGAGAGCCTTGCTGTTGTAGCAAGACTATCTTCTGTCTTTTGACGGCAAGTTCTTCTTGCAGGAACTTGATGATAGCAGCATGTTGCTGGTCTCTGCCTAGAGGTTTCAACATACCACTGATGGCGGGTTCTCCCATGAACACATACATGCGGCCGACTGCCTCCCATTCTGAGTCACTCAGATGGGAGTAGCCTTCATGTGTGACGTGAAAGCTGTCGTCATCTAAGTCCATCATGTTCATGTTAAACGGAAACTAAGCAGCCGTTGGACGGACTACAAAGTGATACCGTGTGTAACGGGGCACCCTTTGTTTGGGTGCCGCGAAACTTTACGTACACTAGTACGTGCAGAGGAAGCTAATTTACTCAAACAAATAGTTTGAGCAAAGGTAGGAAGAGAAATGCATTCAATATCGTTAAGCTATCAATAAAGCTTCAATCTTTATCTAACTATATTAGCCTGCATTGTCGTATGACAACAACCTGCTCACCCCTCATCACGCGCGTCTAGCAGCGATTGGTGGTAACCTTGGTTGATATGTCTTTATCTACCAATCTTTGAGCAGCGCATGAATGTTATCCTACAGAGGGGATAGTATTCCTTCAATTTTATCTATCTCGGATAATGTTGGTAGGGAATTATCATGCCCGACAATCTCCCTATTGATACCATTTAACGTCAATATCATGTAGCGGGCTACCCTGTCACAACACTTCTAAATCAAAAGATGTGAGTGAGTAAATGAGTGAGTGTAAAGCCATCATATCGAACCAAAGCAAGAAACACTGAGCATCACTGATGCATGTAGTCGTTACAAATTGCGAAGAAGATGCGGCTTTTGTCTGAGAATGGGTCACAATGCAGACCAATCTGAAAGCTTAATCGAACCGGCACTTACAGAACTTATCGGACCCTTTTTATAGATAAAAAAAATTGACTGCATTGCTTTGTGCAATTTTAATAATTTTTTAAACACTATCGCTCGTCCCTTACTGAAATAAACCCTTAATTACACAATCATTTAGTTTCTTGGCTTCATTAACAGCACCAGCAACTGGATTATCGTTAATAAGTACCTCGCTTGTTGCGGTGCCTTAACATCTTCGTGATAACAGGGGCGTCCGTTTTAGCTACGCATACGCGCTTGTCAAAAGCTTCATGTAATCGACCATCTTCATGTCCTCCTGCATCTCTAATGCGAACATACATTGCACATTCACAGACCCGGAACAGCATGCAAAATACAAATCTACACAGTAACGAACTGGACAATACTTATAACACGCGTAGCATGCACGCGACACGAACGATTCGAATGCGCGTAAATAAGGAATAAAATAGAAAGTAGCAGCCTTTCCAATCACTAGCGCAGAAGCCGTTGCATGTAAGTGTGTTGGGGATTGATTGTTGCTGTAGAGGCGTCGAACTTGAAAAAATACTGAACGATTGAGAGCATCGTCGGTCGTACAAGCTTCGAGTCCACAAACGTTCTAGACGAAGCTTGACAGAATCCTGCGCTAAAGAACACATAAGAACGGTTGCGAAACGTACTGATTAGGTCGAACGGATGTTTAAAATCCGATTATAGTGATGTAATATCCTCAAGGCATGTCTACAAATTAGCCAATCATGTAGCCTCATATCAAACTGAGGGGATTTTACCAGAAAAACGAGGGGAGGATAACGATGCCCAGTATCGATAACAATAGGTATTTTAAGGACGTCGTGTTCTGGTGCGGTAACAAAAGAAGGAGCTATAGTAGGATTAATCGATTAGGTAAATAAATGGTAGGGTATACACGTAGATGGGGTTTATTATCGCTCTAAATTAAGAAGATTAATTCAGTTCCCCTTTTGGTCATTTAGGACACGCGTCTTGTTTAGACGTCTTTAAAGTAAGAGTCTAGAGCTTTAATCAGGAAAGTGCTCTTTCGGGCCGCCTAATTTCTTGGAGTCGATGTTCCCCCTACCAGGACTAGAAGCTTGCGAGCTTGTTTGGGTACTTGGAGATAAATTATATAAAGTCTGTAAAAGGATTTGAGACCCTTTAAGTTTATATTCGTTTAGTATAATACACTAAGAGACTCTACGAGTCCATAAGTCTTCTCTGATGAAGGAGTAAGGGTAGCCCGCTGCACATGGTGCTTTGTCGCGGTCTGGTGCAACCTTCTGCAAGCTTGAGTCTTCAGAATTTGGTAAGGTGTCAGTGTACGAAGATCTTTGAGTCGAGGGTATTCGTGGTATCTTCAAAGTTTTTGTTTACTTATAAAATGAGCTTACATAAATTTGTTTATTACTTTTGAATGATTTCATATGACGTGCGCACAGGGTATGCCATGTAATCTCGTGTGATGTTGCAGGAGCTGCACAATCAAAGGAGAGAAAGGATGGGCTTATAATGTATGACTTGCATAGAAAGGCAAGCGAAATGGTTGATAAGGCCTTTCTCTTACCCACGTTCAATATACAACAATCAAGCCTAATCTAGGGCGGTACACATCGTGCGTGGAAAGGCAAAAGCTAAGTTTTTAAACAATAACCTGGGCGGGGCTAATCCGTACTATATATATCGCCGTTCGGTACTACAAACTCTTTGAACGGACAATTATTAAACCAAAAGTTTAATTTACCGGTTCTATGATTTACATAGAAGTTCAATGGTGCAGGAAATGTAGATCTTCCTCTGACTAATTCTACTTCCCTGTAATTAGCTTTATCTGAATCATAAAATGTAGATGACCACACCAACATTATTGCTATATCCACTGCTTCAAATTGACCACGAATGATACTGAAAAGTCTCGATCTGACCTAGAGCGTACCATACCAAGCATTAATCTCGTTTACATCGATAAATCGACCATCAGACCCAATTTCTCGCTAGCGTTCAACCGAGAGGGAAGTAACAAAACTGAAGACGTAGATAATTAAAAAAAATAAAGACGGCTCATCTTCTCACAATTTCGTATCACATACTGACTTCGACAGAAACGTTGCTGCATGTATCGAGTCACTCGATAGATTTCAATTTAGTGTATGAAGGTGTATACGTATCAATGTTAGGATCTCGTTCCACGGCCACCTCAAACAGTAAGGCACCGCAACTTCCCTTGTCAAGCACAAACATGAAATTGTAATCAGAATTGAAGAACGGAAACAAGTTCAAACAGCCTCCCGCATTGAATCTTTCTTTATGCACACACCTAGACATCTATTGAGGATCCCTTCACTATCAAGCGTAACAAGGTGCTGCGTCCGTCCACACCATATCACACTTGTTGATCGCGTACGTGAATGTGCCTTGGGCAATTTGATCTTAGACATCTATTTATACCGCGGGTCCATGATCTGTTGGAGTTCAGATTGTGGGAGAAGTAAGACATTATTAAGAGTTTCATCACGGTCACCGCGTCAGTTTACGATCTAAGAAACAGTATTAGCATCAATATAACTATTCAACACCTAGTGTAACGGGGCACCCTTTGTTTGGGTGCCGCGAAACATCATGTACACTAGCACGTGCAGAGGAAGCTAATTTACTCAAACAAATAGTTTGAGCAAAGGTAGGAAGAGAAATGCATTCAATATCGTTAAGCTATCAATAAAGCTTCAATCTTTATCTAACTATATTAACCTGCATTGTCGTATGACAACAACCTGCTCACCCCTCATCACGCGCCTCTAGCAGCGATTGGTGGTAACCTTGGTTGATATGTCTTTATCTACCAATCTTTGAGCAGCGCATAAATGTTATCCTACAGAGGGGATAGTATTCCTTCAATTTTATCTATCTCGGATAATGTTGGTAGGGAATTGTCATGCCCGACAATCTCCCTATTGATACCATTTAACGTCAATATCATGTAACGGGCTACCCCGAACCTAGAATGAATCTTGCGAGTGCTTTGCGCGAAAGTATGACCTTACAAGACTTTGAAATTACTAGGCGTTGGATGTTTTGATTGTGCGGTGGAGTGGGCTCCCAAAACTGTGTGCTGAGACCCTAAATTTCCTACCATACCGGACCGCTGACTAACAAAGGAATTATTCCGACATCTTGTATGAATCTTCTTTCACCTTGTGTACCCGTAGACTGGCGAACCGCACTCGTTGGAACACTAGGGTGAGGATGTAGATGTCGGCTTTAAAAAAAGGTCTACCACGGGGATCGAAGTGGATATTCTTCGCTCGGTATGCTAATATGTGGCCCCTAGATCGACTTAGTTAAGTGTGCAAATTTAACTGATTTAATTTAGATCTTGTTTTCCCTTTCCTTTTCCTTTGTTGTATCAGTAGTGTTAGTTACCTGGCATTTACTTTGCTTTTGCACCCTTAAGTGGGAGAGGCCGTTTCCGACAGTAGATCTTTTAAGGGAATGCTACTCAAGACGATCCTACGGGCCAATTGTCTCCTGGATCTCTTTACACACTTTGTTCTTGCCACGTGACTATCTTGAACGAAGGGACGAATCATAAAACAACTCGTAGCAGGCTAATCGACATAAAAAGCTCCTATAGGCACGACGAAGTCGTGCTCCGTGGATCGCACTATAAATAGTGTTTAGTATCGTGTTTTTTACTTTTTTACTCAATCCTTTCTAATGCCAAGATTACACATTTTAAACAAGCAGGAGTAGATTGACCTTAAAAATTTTAGTTACTTGATGAGGTTCCAGGTAGGCCAATGAGTGACCGAGGTCTACCGAAAAGAGACCATATCCACCAATGAAAAAGAATGGTCGACTTTGAGGGACAAACGTATAACGATGAGACACCAGGTCAATCTTCAAGATGTGGCGTACGGTTTTGACCTAGTGCACGAAGAGAATTAACAGGTCAGAAATTGGCTTTGCCAGGTGTTTGGCAAGACGAATACTCAGTCATCACCAGCCCCCACTTTCCCTCGGAAGGGAAGGGGAAGCCCACAGTGCTCAATGATTTGAGGGACTGCGGCTTGGATGCTGATGTCCCGTCGGGTTCCGCGACCGAACAGTAACGTACGGGAGGCATTGCTACCAAACCTTGCGATTGTGAGCGAGTCATCGAAGTTGCCTCTTCTCGAGATTTACCATATCAGTCTCTGCACCAGCTGGTCCGTTAATTCAGTCTGCGGTACACGAAGGGATGGGGATACGGCCGTAAATCGAACCGAAAAGGTATGCCATTCTTCACACTTGGCCATGCGTTCTCCTGGGACGATTCGTTGACGAGTTACGAAATCTGAAAGGTCACCAATAGCGCC